TGGTAGTTAATATAAATAAAAACCCATTAAAATTCAACTTATCTCGTTGATCAAACATGGAGATAAAATTACAGAAAACTGACTAACACATTTTTTTTTTGACTGAATTATTGTCATCATAAACATATATCCATTTTTTTATAAGGATAACAAAATGCTTCTGTTTACCAGCTGGTTCCTGGTGAAACCTCTTGGCATTGATCTTTACCAAATTTATGTACCCATTCAAACTTAGGGATAAAATTACAGAAAACTGACTAAAATTAGCATTTTAATTTAAAAGGATAACAATTTAGGTTTACAGAGGATCCGGTCTACCAGCTGATCCTATGACCAAACCTCTTGGCATTGATCTTAGGTCTGATTTTCCAATCCCATTTACAGCTGGGTTGACTGGAATTATGAGAAGACATGCTGAAAGAGATTATAACCCATGATTACCATTTTGACGATGTAACCAAGCAACTGACTAATCAATTTGAAATTCGGAAAAACTTTCAGCTAAATACCTTTTCTTTAGCACAGTTGTTTTAAGCGTTGGTTTAACATGATGTCATATGCTTGGTTAAGTAGAGCAAATGGTGGTTGTGGGTTCTTATCTCAATTGGCATGTGAAAGTCTATTGACCTTGAATAACTCATCTTCACTCATAATTCAACTCGAAAGTTGGTATTAGATAATCTGGGAAAGATCAATGTCAAGAGGTTTGGCCAAGGATCAGCTGGTAGAAAGAATCCTTTTTTGTGAACCAAAGTTGTTATCCTATAAAAATTATAAATTGTAAAATTCCCATCAGATATGTCTGACAACAATATCTTACATTAAAATAATGTTTTATCAAATAATAAATATCTACAGTGGGCTTGTGTTAAATATTTTAATTTTTTCTGTTAAAATGTAAGCAGTGAGTAATTCAGGTTGTTGGGTTTGGAAAATAAAACTTTAAGTTGTGTTTAGTGTTTATTTTGCTGTAAAAAATGTTTGTTGAAATGCATTGAGTCAACATTGTATGACTTTTATAATTGTTTAACTTGAAACTTTATATATTCTATTACTTTAAAGCCATGGTGCACCATTTTCAGGGGTGGACTTAGGTCGTGCATATATATAAATAGTCATCAGAGGTGCTCGAAAATCATGTAATACCTTCAAAAACTAGAAATTCACTTTCTACTTCTATAAATGATATATATATGGTAGAGTATAAGGAAAAGATGACTCGTCATTTTAACTTTCAAACGCAGATAATTCTGGTCACACATGGATTTGAAGGCTCAGATTACGACAGTGAACTGTGAACATTATTACTGATTAGCTCAGCTAAAAAAATTGACCTGCCACCCTGTCAGTGTTACAGGTCGGAGGGACTGAAATGTTAAAGCGCCTAGTTGTTCAGATAAGACGTTAAACTGAGGCCCTATGTGCTAGAGGCTGTGCACAAAGATCCCTCACTGCACACTGCATAGCATTGCCTGTCTTCATAAGCCTATGAGGTACAGAAAGTACGATATAAAACTCCATTCATTTCATTTCATTTCATCAACAATATTGTGTCTAATGTATACAAGGCCAAGCTACATGCAATGAGTGTGGAATAGCATTATGAAGATTGGATTGCCATGGTAAATCTTCACAATGGTACTTGCTTGACCACTGGGAAAATGGCCATGGCATGGTTTTAAAAAAAAAACAAGAAAAGACAGATTTCTGTATAAAAAAAAAACAGATTGAATAAAGGCTTTTTCTGATAAATATGATATACCAGTAAAATAAAAAACAAGAATGGACAGTGGCTAGAGAAAGAATTTCCGGTGACCTTAGGTCATGCTCCATCTGTCACTGAAGGATTTGAACCCAAGATCACCCTTTTTCCTTTCACTTAAACACTTTTGATCAATCAGAGCCTAAAATCATCGACAATAATGATTGAATGGTGAATAGTTTCGTCAATTAGGTGTTGTCTATAAAGGGCTGTTGACTTCAATCAGATAGCTGTATTGAATCAGTGAAGCAGGAAAAATATAATAATGCACTTCTCAGTAAAAGATAAAAATCAGATCTATTTATTTTTCTATAAAAATTTAAGTCATGGAGATCCGATTAAAATTTTATTGCAATTTCCTATCTTTTTTAATTTCATATATCTTAGTAAAAATTGTAATCTGAGAAGTTTTCTACCAAAGGTCTGTCCTAATGACTTTATTCTTAACCAATCACAACCTTTCATGTATAACCTATTTCTTGAATAAATAAGGAATTGTGGGATAGCAAAACCCAAAGAGGTTGTCATATCGCTCTACTTTGGGCCTCGCTATCCAACAATCCTGTATTTTATCAAAAACGGATTCTACGTGAAATGACAACAATAATACTACCTTTTGGACAACCCTTTGATAGAAAACTTGTTAGATTACAATGTAGACTAAAAATATCAGAAATCGAATAAAGATACAAAAACGTAATCTAATTCGAAACAGATTGATTTTAGAGTGACCTATATATTAATTTGGGTGATTTAACATTTCCTGGGTACCCTCAACCTTTTACCCTATTTACGAATTAATGTTTTAAGTCATCCTAACCCAAAGGTGTCTTAACAGATAAATATAACCTATCTTAGGTCTGTAACAGTAAATTATAATATCTCTTTCTATAGTCTGACACTCCTATATGTTTTATATTCATATCTTACTTTATAATCTGTCTTTACTAGATCAGGTTTTCATACAAATTGTCTTAATAATAGTGGATTTACACTCAGTTATTTTACTGTTAGATAGAAGGAGGGGGAGAAGATGAAGTTAGGGTAACAGGGAGGGAAATGAGAGAGGATTATGTGGGAAAGGGGGGAGGAATGAGAGATTGAGCTAGGGGAGAGGACAGGAGGGAGGGGAAGAGAGAGAGAGGGGAAGAGGGGGCAGAAAAGAGAAGGTGGAAAAATGGATGAAATAATAAAGGGAAAAGAAGGAAAGTGGAGGAAAAAGGGAGGAAATGATAAAGAAATGAAAAAGGGAGGAAATACTAGAGAAAGGGGAGGGGGGAGGAGGGACAGAAGAATTGAGAGAGGACAGAGGGAGGGGAAAGATGGGCTAGAAGGGCTAGTAGAAATACAATAAAATAAGAACAATTTTCTTTGAAAGTCCTATAATTTTTTCATTTTCATGGGATCAGCTTTTCATAGAAATTCATAGAAAACCACAGACAATGATATTTTATTTTATTCTAATTTATTATGCTAGTTTGGTTTTAAAGTTTTAAAGTCATTTTTTCTGTATGAAATCAGCTTAAAGTTCTTGGTCATGTTAAAGAGTTTATAAAGGGGAAATAAATAACAGTTCACTGTTAATTGATATTTGTAAATGAGATCAGCACTTGATATAAACTACATGTATGTTGAATTTTTTATTAGTGGGGATTTAAGTTGACTAACTCAGTCAGGAAATGGAATCAGGTGTCCTAGAATGTGATTTAAAGAATGGATATAACTAATATCATCTTAATAATGGTATCTGAATGAATGAATAAATGAACTGAAAAAATGAATGAATGAATGAATGAATGATCCAATTTTTTGAATGGGAGTCAATGAAAGTATAAATAAAAAAATAAATGAATGAGAACTTACATTAGAGAGTATTAGGGGCTGACTCTCGTCAATGCCACCACTGACCTCAAACCCCCAGGGTTTCCCTCCTCTTAATACAACTTCAAAAGTTTTTTCCCGTGTGTTGGTCGCCGGATCAGTTAAAATATCCATAGTGAATAGATCTCACATATCATTCGACAATATTCCAGTTAAACTCAGAGTTAATTTCACTCAGAATAAGAGAAGAATTCGGTGTAACAAGGAGATATAAAATATTGTCAAGTTAAAACTGTGCACCCACCTGACGATAAGTCTACTTTGATTATACCAGTCGTACAGGTGTCCACTGTAAACCTGGTGTATGATAATCGAGACTACAGACAGTATAATTAACATGTAAATAAATACCTCGGAGGCGCATGACTGAATAACGGTTTTCAAAATCTTCCCTACCGAGCGATTTCAACGCCCGTTCGATATTTCCCACGACCCTTAAAATAGTTTAACGGTTAATTTTGATTTAAATTCATACTCCAATTGTATTTTATACTGATTTTTGTGAATGAATATCTAAATGAAATTGAGTTAGACTTAAAAAATCTTATTTGATGTCTGTAAGAATTTATCATTTAGTTAATTACAAAGGAAACAAATGCCATTTTAAAAAGTGTTACATGTATAATAGTTGAATGAATAAAGTACCATCAATTCAAGACACAAAGACAAATATAAAGGCTGAGATTAGATACCTTGGTTGAAAAATGTGGTTTATTTATGCAGATTATTCATGTCAAGACTTTAGAAATAAAAATATGAGGGGAGAAAAGGATCTTCGTGATGTACGGTTTGGAACTCAATCGTAACACCCCCACCCCACCTCACACACACCTTCCACAAACAATACGAAATGAACCCCTACAGTATAATTATGTGGACTGTGAAGTATTTAATTAATGCCTGTTTTGTATAGAGCTGTCAGTAATTGACGGTTACATGGCAAGCAAGTTACAGTTTAACATGTTTGCTGTCATCTTTTTTTTTATGTCGGTTTCCAAAGTGAAATATAATATCATAACTTGAAATCTTAAATTGTATCACACGTTTAGGCCTGTATTAGGACGTGAAATATTTTTTGTCGATTTTTTTATTTTTAGTAGGCTAGTTCGTCATATTGCTCAAGGCTTTTTATGTAATTGTCCCAAAACGTTACTTTTGTGAACGTGGGGTTTGGACGGGGATATTTTTGTAATGTGGGACTCTCCCTTTAAAACCACCTCGATCTGGATAATCTGATATAAACCACGTGTTTTATAACATACCATCATCCAGTCTTTCTACCGGAAGTTTACATCTTTAAAAGAAAGCCGCCATTATTTTACAGATCAAAACATTTTTAAACTCGGGGAAATTAAAAATGTCTTCTAATACGATCGACGATTTGACTACAAAATTGGCTGGAACAACTGTTGAAGCGAATACAGAGCTTGTTTATAAAAAGAAAAATTCTACGTTTAAACTGAATACAGCCCAGGATGGTTTGTAGTTTTACCATGTTTTTGTTCATTTTTTGTTTAGATGTAACAACCACCTTTCCGCTGCGCATTTGAGCTCGTCTTAGCTTACAGTAGCTATAGCAAAAATAATTTTTTAGTTGGAAAAAGTGAAAACAGAACCAAAAAATATTGAAAAATAAAAAAGTTATGCAATATTTAAGGTCAATAAAAAGTGGGCGTGGCAAAAGAATTTTTTTCTCTTTTTTGTTGAAATACAACCCGATAGCATAACTTGGTAATTTTTGAGGATAAATTTCTTGAAATTCTGAATGAAAATATATTCATATCTCCACTCGATGATAAACTGTACAGAATAAAAATATCTTGAGTCTTTGAGATATTCCATAGAATGGGGTAAATATTGGAGAAATATGGTCGTTATTTGTATGATTTCTTCACACTCATTTTATAAGTGATATACGGAACAAGTCATTGAGAAAATATGCCGTGTGTACCTGTAGTAGCCCGTAACAGAACACATACTTTTTGGGGTTGTCATTTGGCCATTTTTCAGATCGTCGATTCGCAGCGCCACCAGCGGCTGTTTGCATTGCTACTTACATACTGAAGGTTTTGAAATGATAGAAATCAATTCTAGACCTGATTGTGTCACATACTTTAAATAAAGTTCTGCTAAAGATTCCTCAGTGGCCTTAGTTGATAGAAGAGGCTGATTCCCTCAGTTGTAAAATTTCATGTTATCAGCCTAGCCTAGAGCATGCACTGTACACCATTTTTTACTCCCAATTTCACAAAGATAGAGCTACAGGTACCGGTACAAACCAAGTGTAGCCCAATGACAGTGTAATAATGACTAATGTTTTTACCTTAATAGCACAAGAATTGGTGACATCTATAGAAACCTTCAGCAACCTAAAAGCTTTAAGATTAGAAGGAAATACGCTGGGTATAGAAGCTGCTGAAGCTGTGGGCAAAGCTCTACAGAAACACCCCGAGTTTGAGGTTAGTATTTGGGTGGACATCGTTCCACAGAGTTATGGGGGAAAGGGTTGGCTGGCAGTATGACATGTAGTCAATGGGAAGTTATGTCCAGATAATTATTTGAATGGAACAATAAAAAAGCCATGTGTGCTACAAACTGTGCATGTTTAAGATTCCTAGACAGTTGAAAATAATATAAAGACCAATTTTATGTCACTGTCAATGCAAACTGGTCTCTGGAGCTCGAAAGAGAAAAAAGAATTTAGACAAGGGGATATGATATTATCTGTGTGTTGCTATCTGATATTATTTTTAGTAGTATTATGATTGTATTTCAGAGGGCGTTATGGAGTGATATGTTTACAGGCAGATTAAAAACAGAAATTCCACATGCACTGGTAAATTTTTCTAATACTATTTCTTCTGAATTCTTTCTTTCTTAGCATTCCATTATTAAAAATATGTCCCGATTATAAAACCTCTAAAAATCTATTAGGTAATAACTTTGAAAGCATCTTAAAATGGTAAAATCTCTCACTGCACCCCACATGAGAGCCTGCGACCCCACAGCCTTCAGCTGATATATTCAGTTTCCTCTATATTTTTTATTCCTTAATGGGATCTCTGGAAATTGTAAATTAAATGGATGGTGAAATTCAGTTCCATTAGAGTAAAAAGCTTTTTGTTATAGAAACATCTAGGAGCTGGTATAATGACAGCTGGAGCTAAGTTAGTGGAACTAGATCTCAGTGATAATGCGTTCGGTCCTAATGGTATGAACGGTCTGGTTGATTTATTACCAAGTTCTAGTTGTTATACTCTTAATATACTTAAACTTAATAATAACGGTTTGGGTATCACTGGTGGCAAGGTAAGTTTTATACTTCAGATATCTTTTTCTGGTCACAAGTTATCCTAAATATTAAATAATGAAACATAATTTTTTGTGGTATACTACTCCTGAGTTTTTAAGTACCGTACACAAGGTTTCAGCAATTTACATTGTCATCATCAGGTAAAAATCCCCACCCCTAAAGGATTTTTCTGCTAAATAGAGAGTTTATTTCCATCATTGTTCATTACTTGTTCATTGTATAACACGGGTTTCCCTTGTGTTGCGAATTGTTGTGACTTCAACCGACAACTTTGATGCTACAAGTCTAATAATTACCAGTATTCTTGTCTATACTTAGTAGGAGGAAGATTAGCTTTGAAGATAAGGGGAGAAACTCTACACTACCATAGAAACTCACTAAAAGTTACTTAGTTAACACAAAGGGAAGCTGAGTTGACAAACAATAAAGTTACATAGTAAGCATGCCCTACTTAACTGCAGTAGTTATAGTGGTGAAGCTCAGGATCAACATTCCAAGACATTGTGTTACATCATGTTAAATTATGTTATTTTGTAGATGTTAGCCAAGTGTTTAACAGAATGTTATGAAAACAGTAAAACAGCAGGGCGACCTCTGGCATTAAAAGTATTTATATCTGGTAGAAACAGGCTAGAAAACGATGGTACTAAAGCTCTGGCACAAGTCTTTAAGGTAGGTTTGATATACGTCATTATTAAATTATCTTCAAAGATATTTATATCCATCTGGAACTTATTGCATGTATACCTCATTGGCTAAAACTTCTGCAAAAATGGTGATTTGGATTGGAAATAAAAATTTAACATGAATTTTTTTTTAGATGATTGGTACATTAGAAAATATCTCGATGCCACAGAATGGTATTAACCCTCCAGGAATCTTGGCTCTAGTGGATGCCTTGAACACCAACCCCAATATAACAACATTAAACTTGAATGATAATACTGTCACAGAGAAAGGTGCCGTTTCATTAGTACAGGTGGGTATTGCTCTTAAAGGCAGAAGCAATTTTCCTGGTCAAGGTCATTGAAATATTTTTATGCCTTGATTGATGGAAGATTTACTGACATGTGATGTATTGATATGTGTTGGATTTTCTCTAATAAAGCAATCAGAAGGAAAACATTGATAATGCTAATATTTTAAAATGGACTCAAGGACCTAAAGGAAATTTTCTGTTTCCTCTGGATGAAAACATTTAAATTAAAGAGAGTTTTACATCTTTATTTCTGCACCTGTTTGGGTGAATAAAGACTGGATAAATAGTGTAAGAAATTTTTGAATATATTTCAGGTTTTACCCAAATTAACAAATTTAGAAATATTAAATCTTGGTGACTGTTTATTACGTAACGGTGGGGCCAAGAAATTAGCCACGGTTTTACAGGACAATAACCATAAATTAAAGGTAGGTGGATTTTATTTTTTTAGAAATGTAGATTACAGATTTTTCAATAAATTGCTCCATTAGTGTTGAAATGGTTATTAGTGAAATATCGAATACTTGTAGAATTCTGTTTTGCCTTTGATTGAGGTTTTTGATCTAATTGTGTAATAATGTGTTATATTTTTCAGGAGTTGATTCTATCAGGAAATGAGATCAAACAAGATGGCGCCAATGAAGTTATAGAATCTATAGAGAATAAACAGAATATACAAAAACTTGATCTAGATAGTAAGTTGTATTTTAGATTTTATTTGATTGAAATTCCAAATTTATGTCACCCAATTTTTGACATTTACATATTCATGAGCCTCGACAGAGTCGTACATTACAAAATAAAAGACAAATTTAAATAATAGATTTAGGGACATAGTTTTAGTAGAAGAGAATAAAGATACATAAATCTCTGAATGGCTTTTTTGATCTTTTACAGTCTACTTTTATACTACTGATTATGCTCATTAGGACAGACCACACCAAGCTGTGTATAATGAGGGAAATTTTGTGAGGACATCAGTATTATACTACTCCTTTTCTATGCCCAACTGTCCAGGGAACCCTCCTACCTGCACCTGATAAATTAAAATGGATTATCTTGACCTATGTCAGGATGTCAGGTAGAACCTTGACCGCATATTCTCAGATATGATCTTAGAGCTAGGATATCCTAGAAACTGTATTAGAAGTTAAGACCCCAGGACATCCTAGCTCTAAGATCGTTTCGAGAATATATGTCCAGGACACACTCTGGTTAGCAAACAACTGTCCAGCCATCTTCTAATAAGAGTTCTATTATTTCATATCTAGTAAAACTATGGTATAATTATTTCAGCTAACCAGTTTGGAGAAGAAGGATGTGATATAATAAGAGGCATGTTGGAAGCCATGAATAAAGAGGATATTTTGGAGTCTCTCAGGTGAGTTCCTTGTTATCTTTAATCAACATAAGAAGGTATTAATGCCAGGTTCAAAACATCAACTCAAATAAAGGATTCAGGAAATATATATATCGTAATACGCTTGTCAGAATCTCATGTTTGCTCTTTCTTATTGAATTATAAAGAGGTTCCTCAATTTTTTGAACAGTATTGGCATGGATTTGCACCATACATTCCAATTCTCAGTCAGCATCTTTTGCAGACGTCTGATTGAAATAAGAATGGTGCAAATCGATGCCATCAGTCTCCCCAATACACATAAAGTTTAGCAAACCTCTTTTCAATCCCACTCATTTGTTTGTGCTCTGTGATCCTATAGTAACATTCAACTTTTATTTTGGTTTTGGACCTCTGAAACTACATTTATTCTTACTGTATCAGCTTTCGTTTTATTTTTTATGGATTGTTTTATTTCAGTGGTGATGAAGGAACAGATGATGAAGAGGAGGATGAAGACGGAGAAGAAGATGATGATGATGTTGAGGTTTGTCAGGATTCTATAGGGATTCAAGCAATCAGACTTGAGCTGTTAAACACTAGTGCTGAAATAATACAACCATGGTGACTACTCACTAACTTGAGGGTCTTAGTTTATATTTAGAGGAAACCATGAGCTCAGACTGGAGCTTGTGAACATTGGGTGCTGAATTATCGTTGAATATTATTTTTTAAAAAGCCTTAAATGTAAAGATCAGATAAAATCTAACTTGTGTTGATTCTTCCAGAAGACTAAATTCAGATTGTTTTTCACTTTCAGGAGTCTGAAGGTGAAGAGGTCAATGACCCTGAATTACAGGTCAAAGGTCAATCATTAACCCCTCAGAAAAAGGTAAGAGATAAAATTTAGAACATTATTTTGACATATATTATGATGTAAATTATTATGTTAAAATAATTTTCGAATTTACTTCATTAACTATTACTATAAAAGAAACTCCAGGGGGCGCTCGATTGGTGAATTCTGCACATTTCGGGATATATTGAATCAAGGGAATGTTCAATAAAACAGTTTAGAGTGCGTTCCACTTGTGCCGAAAAAAAATAGGTGCAGACAGAATTCAAAATGGAGGAGAAGGAAATAGATTATCAACACAAGTTATATGGATATACTACTTCTAGTTTTTTACTTGATAACATTACCTGTATATGTTTCGAACGTAGTATGTAATAAACCTAGAAGTAGTATATCTATATAACTTGTGTTCTTAATGTTTACCTTCCTGCTTCTATATGTCTTACAAATTTTAAGGAAATAGATGGTTAAATTTTGACTGTGACATATCTGTTTCATTCTGTTTGATTGGTGGCAGAATTGGAAAACGAAACCTGTTCTAAACTCTCTAATCAAGTGCCACCAAGGCAACACTAATCCAACTTTTCTCCCTGCAAGACACAAATATTACCAAACTATTCCAGAATACTTTTACAACCAATCCAAAATTAATTTGAATATCTTTGTGTCTTGCAGGAGGAAGTTGTTCTGTCACCTACGATATCCAATACAAACCCATCAACATCTATCCCAGAATCCTTGAAAAACAGCTCTCCAGTTGTAGGAGATAAAAATGACAGCTTGGATTTAACAGAAGAGTTGGAAAAGTTAAAACTATCTTCTTGACGAAGGAGAATTTTAAGAACTTTTTAAAAACCCTGTGATTACTGTTTAATTGAAATTTTGAGAGCAAAAGATAAATAATAGAGCAAATGTCGAATCAGCATTGACTTAATTTTCTATTAAGTGAAAATTTATTACATTAAGAATTTCTCAATCATGTGACATTTGATTGACAGCTAGTCTTAGGCTCTAAGTAAGAATTGACTCAAGATGTGCATAAATACCTAAGCTAGACTCATGACTAGTTTATGACCTGTGATATAAGAACTCTATTAAACATTGAATAGTCAAATGAGGGTCAGTGGTGGAATAGAACCATGTTATAACTTAGCACGTCATTTTCGGGGCCTTGTTCAATGAATTTAACATACCATATAATAGTGTGGGCTGGATTATTCCCAAACTGTGATTGGTGTGATGGCATTTTATGCTGATTTCAGTAATCAATACAATTGTCTAAAATTGGATACAGTTGTATATACTTTTTGGGATCTCATTCCAAAAGTTTTGGACCAATGAAATTAAAGCTTTTGTATGACAAGTATGAAGGTTGTATTTGGGGTTTAAAGGATTATGGAGAGTTATCTTTATTGTCAAAAGTATTGCTGATAGCTCGTCATTATATGTATTATTGCGATATACTCTGGCATTTTTATTTTAATATTACGTCTTTCACAGTGTCCATTTTTATTATTCTCTTATTTAACTTTTTGAATTATGATGTCTGACTGGTCAATGGCAAATATTACTTAAAAAAGCAAAGTTATAAATTATTGACCAATCAGATGCCTGGAAGTTTAAAGAAATAATTTTAACCAATCAGATTTCCTAAAATAATAAAACGAAGATGTTATATCCCAGTTTATATCTATTAAATGTCTTTTATTCACCATTAAACTTTTTATAAATTCTTTTCTTTTGCCCTGGAGAATTAGAGAGGCTTTGAAAAATTGATTGTTGTGAATTTGTTTTCAGCAAATTTTTATCCCTATGAAATCTAAACCAAAACTAATAATCTTAGATAGAAGTCAGTTATTTGATGAGTCAATGAACCGCGATTCTTTCCTTCTTATCGATGCATTTCTTTGGATAAATGTAATCGCGATGTATCGACACGATTAATTTGTAGCCCCCATTAATAACAAATCCTAATGTGTATAAGAAATTATTGCAATAAATCTTATCGTTTGATGAATATTGAATCGCAACTTCAAGAATCGTTGCAGCCCTACAGATATTACAGTCTATTGTAATTCTTATTACAGAGAGCAGCCTTGGTACCAATCTGCTAGTTGGACAGGGGATAGTATTGTTTTTGAAAATACCTAGATGGGAACAAATACTTGTATCTTTTCTTGATTATAAAACCACACCCAATATTTAGCTAAATCTTTCACTTGGAAGAGATCATCAAACATTTATTAACAACAGTATGAGATTATAAGACGTTAATATTTTGTAGGTGACAGCTGGTGATTTTCTAGCTTTCCCCTCACCCACCAAATTACAACATCTCGGTGATAACAAAGGAGAAGCAATCAAGGCTGAATTAGGGGTAAGATGTTCTTTTTCATTCAGTCTGTCACATTAAAGGGCTTGTTAAGAGGTTAAGTGTATCAGGATCACCTATAGCATCAATTTGCATCATTCCAATTTTCAATCAGATGTCTGTGGTTCCTGCAATTCCACTAAAACTAAGTGTTTGATGATGACACTGATCAGGAATGGCCTAATATAAACACTTGTATTTTGTGGAATTGCTGGAACCATAGACCATAGTCTGATTGAAAATTGGAATGGTGCAAATTATTGTTATTCGTATCCCTGATAAACATAAAAAGTTTAGAAAACCTTCTCCAAATACCTTTAAGTTCTCGACTACATATTAAGACATGATGGCATAGACTTAAATAATTGTGTTTTGATCATTTGTACTGAGAATGATGTATTAGATCAGGAAATACAAGAGTGACATTTTTCTAAACTAACAGATATATTGAGTAATGGAGTATATGAATTATTTATAACAATATATTATTTTTCAGAATGAGAGTAATGATATAGAGAAAGTTGTAGATACTATTTTCAGGGTAAGTTTTTCTTTCTATTTTACTTTTGTTTGTATTTCACTTATTGATGCCAGTGAGAGTGGATAACCCTTTCAATACAAGTTGTCACTGTATAATTACATGAAAGCTGAACGGCTGGTGAAGCAGCTCCTAGTCCTACCATTGAAGTCCCATAAGTGAACATCATTCGCTTTAAGTTACAATATAATTTTCAGTTCAGGAGATATGATAGTTATTTTTACTCACTCTCGGTGCTCAGAGTCAATTTGGGTTCTTGATCTGTTTTTAAAGTAACATTTATCTGTTGATATAACTTTCAATTCATAACTTGTTTTCGTTTTATCTGTAGATTTCTAGTATTGTAACAGAAAGTGATGTTACCACCAAAACAACAGCTTGTCAATGTGCAGGTTAGTAGGTTACTTATATCGAAAAAAAAAACCATGTACATATGTTATAAGGTTTTTTGCGACTTTAGAATTTATCAAATGTATGAAATTTCTGACAGATGGATACAGCACTTCAATTCTATAGAATCTTATCTGCTAACATATCTATTTTAAAATGAATAAACTTTATTACTATTGAATTTTAAAAAGCTTAACAATCCTTTTTTCAGATGAGTTATTAAAGTCAATAGTCAAAGATGAATCCGAGAGTTCTTTATTTACTAATTTATACCTCGTTAAGCTGGGATTAATTAAGGTAAGTGAACACTCTGTTTCCAATCCTCGTTCACATTTTTTGGAATAGTTTTCTGTAAGTTTTTTTTTAGCTTAGTTAATCAGTTATAGTGTTCACAGCTTAATGTTTAAATTTGAGCCTTCTCCTCAATTGAAAGTTACATTGATGACCCAACCTTTTTCTTGAGACTGGTCCATGTTCTAGTGCTTCTGAATCAAATCAATCCCTGAAAATACTAATTGTTAAATGATAAATGTCTGTTGATATATTTACAGGGTGAAGACAAGAAATATCGTCCCCCAACAGACGTCAGTGGTCCACTGTTAGTTTTAACTCATATAATACAACAAGAATACATAGCTCATATCTCTCGTGAAATACTACAAATTTTTATTGCCAAGTAAGTACTTTTCATTACTTGTCTGGTGGGAGTCGTACGATTCAGCTGTTGATCTATATGCTCTGTGACAAATATTTGTTTGCCTTTTATGACCTTGACATAGAAAGACATTTGAATAGTGCATAGCTTATAAAGTAACAGAATTGATTTTTGATAGTACTGGACATGCTGATGGGTCTTGGAACTCCTATATGAGTTTAAATTTGACAATTTTTCAGCAACCATAACAAGGCTATCATGTAATCCAAATTCAACAGGTTGAGAATCATTTCGGACAGTAGGCCTATGTATCTTGTGACCCAGGTCCAACAGGTTGGGCATCAGTTCGGACAGAAAGCCTATGTATCTTGTGATCCAGGTCCAACAGGTTGGGCTGCAGTTTGGAGAGTAGACCTATGTATCATGTGATCCAGGTCCAACAGGTTGGGCTGCAGTTTGGACAGTAGACCTATGTATCTTGTAACCCAGGTCCAACAGGTTGGGCATCAGTTCGGACAGAAAGCCTATGTATCTTGTGATCCAGGTCCAACAGGTTGGGCTGCAGTTTGGAGAGTAGACCTATGTATCATGTGATCCAGATCCAACAGGTTGGGCTGCAGTTTGGACAGTAGACCTATGTATCTTGTAACCCAGGTCCAACAGGTTGGGCATCAGTTCGGACAGTAGGCCTGTGTATCTTGTGATCCAGGTCCAACAGGTTGGGAAGCAGTTTGGACAGAAAGCCTGTGTATCTTGTGATCCAGGTCCAACAGGTTGGGCTGCAGTTTGGACAGTAGGCCTATGTATCTTGTGATCCAGGTCCAACAGGTTGGGAAGCAGTTCGGACAGTAGACCTATGTATCTTGTGACCCAGGTCCAACGGTTGGGCTGCAGTTTGGACAGTAGGCCTATGTATCTTGTGACCCAGGTCCAACAGGTTGGGAAGCAGTTCGGACAGTAGGCCTATGTATCATGTGACCCAGGTCCAACGGGTTGGGCAGTATGTATCATGATAATTATTATATGTTGTATATTTTCAGAACTCATCCTGTATTAGATAAAGCTCAGTCAGCTCGACATCAGTTACTACAGACATTATACGCATTCTAAATCTCTACACAACTCAGATAATATAATAATCTAGCTTGAGATGACCAGCATTGTGTTATAGGAATTTCATTACTGAAAAAAACTTTTGGAGTGTTACCTCAAGAAGAGACATTGTGTAAAAAATGTTTTGAAAAACTGAACGCAGGGCTTATGAATATCATGGAAGAGTTAAATAGACTAGAGCTCATAACATACTGCTGACACATGATTAGATAAAATAAGTATTGCTATTTTGAAATAAAAGTACAGGTTATGTTTGTATGACAACTCCAGAGCACTAATTTCTCTACTGACATAAAGAAACATCATGAAGATTGTATATAGAGTAGAGAGGAACTTAATGTGAATGCTTTGTTATAAAATGGACAAATGGAATAAAGAGAGTGTGGACATTCAGCGATCAAATATAAAGACGTATTCTTGTTTTTTTGTGATTTTTGAAGTGTCATTTCCAAAGTCAATAATAATGTTACAAATTTGATAAATAATAAATCATATTTTCATGCCTCACCTCCCCTACATTGTTGTTAAATTTCTATTCTAAATAAATTTCTTGAAAAATAAAAACATTGTAAAATGAGAAAATAAATATTTATTACAGATACGTTTTCATTTCATTACACTTTAAAAGGATTGTTCAGAGATTTTCTATGCTTTTATTGTGTATAGGGAGAAGTAATATGTTCAATATGCATCATTCCAATTTTCAAACAGATGTCTGTGGTGTGATGTCACTAATCATGAAGGCCTTATGTAAAACAAGAATATTTAGCAATTAATAACGTCATCAAACACTTAGTTCTAGTGGAATTACAAGAACCAAAGACGTCTGATTAAAAATTAGAATGGTGCAAATAGATGCTATTAGTGTTCCCTATACACATAAAATTTTCAGAAAACCTCTTTACAATCCTTTTCTCTTAAACTCTTTGATTACTCAATTCTATTTTAAGGTGTTCACAAAGGTTCTGAATGAATTCCTTTCCATAATTTTAATATTTGGGTTATGAAAGGATGAGAAATGGCTTATCCCATTTTTCTTCTTCTGACTTAATAAGTCTATGAAGTGAGTAACGAGGATCAGGTACATTGGCTTCGAAAAACAGTTATGCGCCCTTGAAATGTTATCAAGACAGTGGCTTAGGCCTGATTGGGTTATATTGACAATTAGAGGATTAGTCAGTTTTTAACATTTCTAGTTCTTTTTTAGCCTCATCAACATCATCATCATCTCCATCTTCATCTTCCTCAGAACTTTCTTCTTCTGACTCCTCATTATCTATAATAATTACACATTGCTCGTTAGTAAATGAAAAATGAAATGGTGTTTGATGCCCAACTTTTCTGCACTTAATGGGCTAATGAAGATGGGCAACACCATGCAGTGTGCAATGAAGGAAATTTTGCCAGGACAGGGCATTTGCCTTCTCTTTATGGATTTCTAACCGTCAATGAATGTAAAAATGTGGCCAGCCTGTAGCACACAGGGCCTGGGTATATTGTCCCAAACAACTAGATGCTTTTTCCACGTCAATCTCTGAACCCAAGATTTTGATACAAATTCCTATAATTGCAAGTTATGAAAATTGAGTTAACTTTTCTATATTTGAATCAGAAGCAGGGTAAATAATCTAAAAGATTTAAAAAATCAAACCATACCATAATTATTAGAAGCACCGTAAGAAAAGGGAGAGAATCCAGTGAAACCTCCGGCTCCGTATCCTTCATAATCATCATCGTCATCATCATCATAATCATCTTCTGCAACTTGTCGGCCATATTTATATTTACGTACTAGAAATAAAACAGGATAGTTATTAGTCTCTATATAATGATATATATGATATAACATAAAAATGTAAAGAATTATGAACCACGCCCGATTGTACCAAAAATAAATTCATGTTATCCTGTGAAGCGTCGGAAGGAAACATCATAAACACAGCTTTGTCACAAGGTTACATTATATATTGCAGGGTTTTTAAAGAAGTTTTCTAAATTTCTCATATTACTAGATGTAATGGTATATTTTAACTTACCAGACATACTAAGATCTTTGGTCTCACTAGTTTCACTGTTACATTTCGGACATGGCAGCCCCACCCCACCCTTATCATATTTCACACCCTTTCTTCTAATATGGGTATCACAGAAACATATCTGAAAAAATAACAATATACATCACTAGCAAGGAGAAACACAAATTTTAATAGGGGGCCCAAGAGCATCAGCCTGAACAACATTTGCATCTCTTATGTCCTGCTGCTCCCCTAGTCCTAAAAGTGAGAGTTTTCAACTTTCAGGCTGAACTTTGACATGACTGTGTTTCATCTCTCAAGGAGCTTTGAATCAGAAATAACATTACCGGTATTTTAGTTGCTTACCTTACATCTTAAACAGGAATATTGACCTAATTTGTTACATGCTACACCTGAAATATTATTGAAATAAAATACAAACACAGTTAATAAAACAATTCAAAAATATTGAAGCATTAGGGACCTTTTATCAATCATGATCAATCATGTGGGTTTGCTAAACTAAGATTAAGGGTCTGGGCCAGGATTGAACAAAACAAAACCTACATTCTATCATCATATAGAAACATAAGAGGCTGTCAGACTGCTATCCCACAATTCATCAATGGTATTCAGATACAAATTACACATGGGTTGCTCAGATTGGTTAAAAATGACCTCATTAGAACAGGACTGTGGTAGAAAACTTGTTAGATGACAAATGAGATGTAAATATACGACAGCAAAAAAAGAAACTAAACTGAAATCCAATTTAAAATTGAGCAGAGCCGAACAATATAAACCTACATTTATAATTCTCTGATTCGAGAACCTGGCAACTGGCTTGATGTTCAAACTGGTCATCTTCACACAGGAATCCTCGACAAAACGAACACTGAAATATCCTTCCACCATGTTCCCAGACTCCTCGGTTACACTCAATACATTCTCCATTAGTCAGAGGACACGTACAGGCATGGGTAGTCAGACATTTTCTCCCGTGACACACCCATGCTTCACAAAAATCACACACAGCTCCCTGAAATACATACAAAATCATGGCTATATGCTGGTCATCGTCACAATGGTCAAGGTATAACAAACTTCCTCTTATACCTCGACTCCAATAGCCACTGTTCATGTAGCAAGAAACACAGCAATTTGCAGCGATATAGCCAATCATAGACCTGGACAGAATGACTGTTAACATTATGGCTAATTATTTATAGATTTTCTGTCGGGGGCTCTGATCAACTGTATTCACTAGCATAAAATCCAATCAAATCACTGCATTTACAAAAAAGGTGGCTCTTTATAGTCAAGGTATAAGTCGAAGTTCATCGTGAAGATTGGGGGGAAAGATGAATAATAAACTCGACTTACCACCATACCCATTCCTGTTGTATATTGACCAGGGTGTTTTACCACACAGTCTCCTGATTTCAGCAAACATTTTTGTTTTCCACATTGCCCACAGACAGGTAGTCTCTGTAATGATCCACAAAAATAACAGAATGCTCTATTTTTCTGATTTCTACAATAGAATAAGAATTATCTATTACTTTCCACACAAGAAAAATGATAAAATGTGTGTGATTGTGTTTTATTATTGTAGTAAATTGATGTTATTGCCCAGTTGAATAACCTTTGATATTGACTGACATTTCAATATACATCATAAAGTTATACATTGTTACAGTTGATTCATATTCCACAGTTGTTAGAGCATTGTTATAACTGATGTGTAATAGTACATGTCAGTTTTAAGTTTGCCTTCTTTGATTAAACATGTCTTTTTAACTGTTCTGATTTCTTGACAATGTAAGATGACTTAATTTGTTAATGACTTAATAATATACTAAGAAGCAAATATATAACAATTATCAAAGGGGTGTGTGATATAAAATTTTTATTCTGACACAATTCTGTCCTCTAAGAGACCACCTCCATTAGGAGACAAGTTTTCCATTATTCCCTTGAGTGGTCTCTTAATACAGTTCCTACTGTGGGATTACACAAACCTAAGCCATAGTCTCCCATTATACTCACCGTTTACACTGGTCACATTCCTGTAAAGAAAAATAAAATAAAGTCAATCAATAATGAATTTACAAGGGTTGAAAATGTATGATGGACAGGGACAAGAAAATGAAACGATGGCTCATCTCAGGTAGGCTATGTGTCGACAAGTGTTTCGTACTGCTGCATAAAATCCTCGACAAGGTAGTTTTATAAATCAGAAAAATACATTTAACCCATGTCCTGTTTCCAAATAATCTCCACTTCTTTGGTCTGGTTCATGAACATTAATCTAAAAAAAAAATTGAAAGTTTAGAAAATGTTTTCATGTACCATCATTGCATTGCAAAATCTATCAGCCAATTCTCTCTGAAACTGAGCATTTTTTATGTCCTTCTGTCGCTCTTTTTGTTTGTCTGCCTTTTTCTTCGCCCCAGTCTTTTTCTTGGGCATCTTGAAAGTTGATTTTAACGTCAATATTTAGAAAAACTTAGCAGACATCTCAAAACATCCATGTGGCTCTTGAGAATATCCCAGTTATCCAGACGGAATTTGTATAGAAAATATAACTGACGTTTTGGTCTGGAAAATGAGTTCGAAAGGTTTGAACGTACCAGACTTTTTTACAATGTACATTTCAATTGCAGACAAACCGTCTGGGTAATCGTGTTCAGGAATTATTTACGGAAGTGATAAATTACGCATGCGTACAGATTGTAGCCGGACGTCCATCTTGGTTGTTTCTCTGTTTGCCTTCAAGGATTTGTTTGACATTCTGGATTAAAAAAAGCAGAAAACATCAATGTAGATGGGTTTACAACCTTTAGAATTTGGTGATTGCCTCACCGACAGTCCGTTCTTCAGGGAAAGGCTGCATGAACACGAAAAGGAATTGGACAGAACGAGCAAAGCGATTAAAAATTTGATACAGCACGGGAACAAAGTTTTGGATGCTGCTAAACGTGAGTGATCGGTCTTGATTTATCATTTTTATCTTTTTAATTATCAGCCTTTTAAGACCCTCTTTGATCTCACCGCAACTGTTGATAACTGTGCTACCCTTTAATTAAAAGGTGTGAAGTTTATTAAGGATGCATTCACATGCTTTTCTATTCAATTCAAGTCAAGTGCAAAATTGTGAAATATTTGCATTGATTTTTGATTGATGACCAAATCTTCCATGATGAGGTCAGCCCAACAAGAAATATTTGTGTGTACAGTCACAAGTTTATTTATTACTGTGAACTTTTAGATGCATTAACAAATAGTCTAATCAGATTACTTACATCTCAGTACATTTGCACTCAAGTGTGATAGCTAACATCTCTTATGTTGTGATGTTCAACTAATGACTAGATCTATCCATATCAAGATTAGTCTGAAAAGTGAAACTTGCCGAAACATTTCCTAGCCCATGATATATAATTTTGACAGAAGGGTATATCTAGAAACTTGCTGACTTTTACACTTAGCCTGTGATATATTTTTGACAGATAAAAACTAAATGATTCTCAATTATCAACTAGCTGGAAACATTGCTCAGTTGATGACCCTTACTACTTACGGCCATTTTGACTAATTTTGATTTTTGGGGCCATTTTGACTTGGGGGGCCATCCGGTTAGGTGCCAAGTTGTCTATTGACTGCTGTCTAAACACAATTTTTTCACAATTATATTTTCCAATTATTTTTGTATAAATTTAAATATTGACTCCGAAAATAGTGCTGTCAGTCATGTTAAATGCTAACCAAGACGTCATTTGAAAATGTTATTAGAAACATAATCTTACAGGATATCTGTCTTGCTGAAGACTGAGCTTTCCCCTTGTCATAGTCAACTATGTTTCACAGTACTGCCATGGCTGTACAAATATTGCGTGCCTGAGAAAATGTCAGACATTTTTAATGTTGATGTAAAGGTGAAAAGAGATCTGGGATAGGTTAGATTTAATTAAGAGATTAATCAGTGAAAAGAATGTAAAGATTATTATTATTATTATATAACAGGATACATCCCATAATATTATGATTACCGGTATTATAAATAACTAGTGTATAAGGAGTTATTTCCTACCGACCATTCGAATGTTTCAACATAGTTTATTTACTGTATTAATTGTTATATACTGGTACTGTTTTAGATTAAATGTTTTATGTCTCAATACTGTTCTGTATCATATTGAGCCTAATGAAATGAAATTGAGTTCTACTTCCTATTTTTCTAAACTTATTGAGCTAATGAAATAGAGTTTTATATCACATTTATCTGTATCTTATTGGACTAATGAAATGAAATGGAATATTATTTTCCACTGTTTTACCCTACTGGGCTAAAGAAATGAAATAGAGTTTTATATCACATTTATCTGTATCTTATTGGACTAATGAAATAGAGTTTTATATTCTACTGTTCTGTATCTTATTGGACTAATGAAATGAAATGGAGTTTTATATTCTACTGTTCTATATCTTATTGGACTAATGAAATGAAATAGAGTTTTATATCATACTGTTCTATATCTTATTGGACTAATGAAATGAAATGTTGTTTTGTGTCCTACTGTTCTGTACCTTATTGAACTAATGAAATGAAATGGAGTTTTATATCCTACTGTTCTGTACCTTATTGAACTAATGAAATGAAATAGAGTTTTGTGTCCTACTGTTCTATATACATTATATTGTGCTAATGAAATGAAATGGAGTTCTACTTCCTACTTTTCTGAACTTATTGAGCTAATGAATTTTTAGGGGTGACATTCACAAATACAGGTTTCGATGTGGTCTGTCCTAAAAGATTATTTTGAGAATATGCAGCCTGGTTAGGATTTATAATTTGTGAATCTTTAATTGATCAATTAAGCATATTTATTTTTGAAAGATTTTTGTTGTCATTTCAGAATTATCTCTGGCTCAAAAACAGTTTGCAAAGGATTTGACTGATTTTAATTTTGAGACCATTAACAATCAACAAACAGATGATGAACGAATTATTGGTGAGTATTCTTTACATCTTGGGTGGTGTAGTGGAGCTTTGACAAAATCCTACAATTCTACAAAGTTGATGGATCCAATGCTAGATGTATTTGATAAATAACAAAACATCCCTGATGTTAGAAATGAGCTCTTTCAATCACATACATTCAGTTTCATATTGATAGAAAGTATGCATGTATGGAAGAATTCAATAGAAAGGAGAGGTGTCAAAAAGATGACTGGCACACTATATCCAGCCATTGTAAAGTATTGTAAAGGGTTATATCATACTTGAAAATAATTTCAATAAGGCTCACCTGTTACTATATTTATTAATTTTTTCTATTCATTCTTTTGTAATTAACTATTTAAAAACATTTTGAAGTGGCTATGTTTTTGGTCTTTGCTGAAAAATGATTTAAGGATTAAGCAAAGTAAACTCCAAATTTTAGAGAAATGTGTCCCTTAATTATTTTGAAGGTTTCAACACAAAATAGGCTTTACATCAAAACTAGTTTAAACTACTTTATTAATATTGAATTAACACTCATTATTTTTAAAAATTAACCCTATTGAAACCAATTCAGGTTGATCAAGAAGATACATAGTATATTTCAGAAATCTTTTCATATGTTATTTACATAACTTTTAATAATAAAAATTTTGCATACTGCCCCTTTAAAACACTAGTCATAGATATCTCTGTGTATGTAGAGGTCAATATTTAACCTGTAATAACTGCACTTCTATAGTTGAGGTGTATTGTCTACTATGTTAAATATGTTTTTATATAATATAATATCTATGAAGTCAAGGTGACTTGTCAACCTGCCGACTGTATTAAAGTATGAGTAAATGTCAGGTTATAGTTAACTTTAAAAAACAGTTTCAATATGTTGAACTGTTAAAGGCCATGACTCGTGGTTCACCATTTTTGGGACTGATTCTGGTCTTGAATATATCAGAACTACCAGTACTAGAACCAGTGTATGAATATCACTACAAATTCCTCTTTAACTTTCAAATGTGGACTATTCTAGATTTGATTTGAAGGCTCTCATTTCGACAATGAGCTGTGAAAACTATTGCTGAATGTTGATAAGCTAAATTCTGTTTCTGAGACTTAGGAACGATTAACATCCTTTAAACATCGTCACAATGTTTTGAAGATGAATTTACAAAGACTATTATTTTGTATAGCAGTGATGATTCTGATCCATAGGTGACTGGTTTCTCAACATGAGACCCAAACAATGAACATAGATTTTAATTTGCAATCCTAAATTTCTGCCGACATCACATCATTTCTGGATTTTAAATGTTATTTTATATTAGTGTGTAATAAATAACAGTTTTATCATCTGTATTAATAAATCATGAAATAAAACAAGAGTTGAAATGATGAAATATAAAACTATAATAGTTACAGTATGAATAATTGAAGACATTATAAACTGCATAAAACATTTTTTCAACCTAGTTTCCTATCCAGCATTATCACACCATTATCAAGTGTGATCTTTGAATCCAGATATCTTTTTTTTGTGTAGTTTTAAACAATTTTTCCATTTTAATCCAAACTTCAAAGAGACTTAGATAACAGCTAGGTTTTTTTTTATATCTAGTCATGTATGACTGGTTAATACAATCTAATCAACAGTATGGAGCATTTCTGTTTAAACAATAATCATCCTGAAACACTACTCATACATGACTGGTAAATACAGTCTAATCATCAGTCCAGAGCTCTAGTCAGACATGACTGGTAAATACAGTCTAATCATCAGTCTAGAGCTCTAGTCAGACATGACTGGTAAATACAGTCGAATCATCAGTCCAGAGCTCTAGTCAGACATGACTGGTAAATACAGTCTAATCATCAGTCCAGAGCTCTAGTCAGACATGACTGGTAAATACAGTCTAATCATCAGTCCAGAGCTCTAGTCAGACATGACTGATAAATACAGTCACATCAACAATCTAGAACTCTAATAAGAGCTGTAAGAGATGTCTGGCAAATGCAGCCAGATCAACAGTCTAGAGCTCTAATCGGGCATGACTGGTTTATACAGTCAAATCAACAGTTCTAGTCAGATGTGAATGGCAAGTTACAAGGAAAGTATTTGTTACAATAAGCTCATCTGGAATTCATTATGTTTGTGGCATGTGTTTAAGGTGGCCTCGTGAAATGTTTCTATAGTGTTGAACATGATATGATACTTATTGTAACACATTCATGATCCTCAGATGTCTCTAGGGTGGCTACATGAAATATATTCCATTTGTAGGTTGTAACATTTGGAATTCATATAATCATTCTCACTTTGTCTCTAGGGTGGTCACATGGAATATATTTTCATAACATTTATAACAGGTTGATATGCTGAGGTTAATTTTTACTGAAATTCAACAACAAATGTAAATGCCAAATAAACAATATTAGCTATGTGTACTCTCTGAAAGAGATACAGAGTTGACAAACCTAAATATTTTTAGACTCTCTGAAAGGGATACAAAGTTGAGTTGAAAAAACTAAATATTAAAGATGCATTTTTTTTTTAGTTATGTGGACCCTCCAAAATGAATGTAGAGTTAACAAACCTAAATATCAAATAATTTTTTTTAGCTTTGTGGACTCTTTGAAAGAAATACTGGGTAGACAAACATAGATAGGATAAAGATATAGATAATATCCAGGAGGGATGCTGAGTGACTTATAGAACTGCAATAGCCACCTTTCTCGTATGATTGGCTGTACTCGCCACTCGTCAGCATACAATCCAATCAAATTGCTGCATTTACAAGCATCTGGGATACAAGAAAGTTGGTTATCTTAGTCAAGGCAGCTTGTAATAGCTTGACGTTGTGAAGATGCCATAAGGACTGTCAGAATGGTAGCTGACTGACTGACTGCTAGTTGTATTAAGACTGAAGATTGTAGTTATACTATATAGTAGAATGGTGTATATTAGTATCAATATCAGTAATAGATACCAGTATATCATCTGTCAGTAGATAGCTTGTATTACACCAGGTAGACTATTACACCTGTTCAAAGCATCAAGAATGTGGCACTTTGCCAGTCATTTTACCTGTCTTGATTACAATATCATCAGTTATCTCCCTTCGATATCTTTCATGGGTTCACTGCTTTCAAACCAAACATTACTGAGACTTATAATTTGATACTTGAAATTTGAATCAGAATTAGAATTAGACAAAATAGACTGATGACTTTTCTCAACCTTAGAAATTGTAATTAATGGCACTTACCATCAATGCATGGAAACTGCCATTTTCCTTTATGACCTGACATCACTTCATAGATAGACAATAATAAAAAGGTTAAAAAGTAATTTTACCTGTCATGATTACAATATCGTCCGTTATCTCCCTTTATATCTCAAATCGCTACATTTAACCTACATGATATAAGAAAGTGCCACTGACTATTGCATTGGAGGTGAAGGCAATTTGTAATGGCTTGACATTAGATGTGAAGACGTCTAACTGTATGATCATAAGAATCAAATCTGAAACAAGGTAGATTTAATATGATAACTGTACATCAACTATAATTGTGTATTTCAGCACGTTCCCTTCGAGAGTTTGGTAAAATTATTATTTCTATTGAAGATGAGAGACAGGTTATGGTATGTTGATTTTATTTTCTGTTCATTTACTATTCTTACCAACCTCATTCAACAAGTAGCGGCAGCAGTCTGCATTTCAAGTGTTGGGTTTGCAAGTGGAGAAACTTAAGGGCAGAAGAGCTGGATTGTTGTACCCCTTGCCCCATTTCTGCTCTTGATATAATTTCAGTTGGACCTGGCCAGTCAACAGTTTGTGAAGCCTCTAGAAACATTCCGAAAAGAAAATATTGGAGCTGCTAAGGTATAGTTATAGACTTTGTTTTTTATTCGATCAATCATGCATTTCCTTATATGGTTATGAAGACATTGTTTGTCTGTTGTTTTGTTAGAGATGACTACGTGCTACATAGAATAACCTTTGACCTGATAAACTGAACAATTATTTTGAAATTTTCAACTGTAAAATTCAGCATAATAAATTTTTCTACAGAATGCCAGCATATATTTTTTTGATCGCTTAAAATACGGTAGCACATAAACCTTTGGTGTGACATATCTGTCAGTTTTTAGGTCAAAGGTTCCTGAATGTAGTTGTTATTTTCAATGCTATGAACATGCCTGATTTAGCTTGTCTACTGTTTCATGAATAATAGTTGACATGGGGGGAGGGGAGTAAGGAGCGGGGGATGGGGGGTTGGGCTTAAGTGGTAGAAGAGGGCTGTACCCTTTGGAATTTCAAACAAATTTTTTTTTTTTTTTCATATACTCCGTCCACTTAATATTTTGAGCTCCTATGCCCATGAGGAAATTGGGTGCTCATACAAGGGTCAAGGGGTCAGGATTTGGGTATGGAATTTTAGAACAAGGGGTGGGGTGTACATTCAACATTTCATTCATCAGTGTTAATAATAACATCATTGTCATCTCAGTCATATACTGCTTTATCTATACCTGCTTAATGCTTAGCTGAGGCTAGGGACATAGCAGTCTATATTCCTAACCTTTCTTAGTTTTGGGTGCCACCTTTTTCATAACCTCCGTACAGGCTTTGATCCAAAATTTCATCTTTTTCTCTTGTATATTGCATATGATTATCCAAACATTTTCTAAAGCATCAAACTCATGCATTCAATATAAACAAATTTTTTCAATACTGATTCTTTTTTACAAAGTTATGTAAAAGTATCTTTTGAATGGCATGTTGAACTTGTCTTTTTCAAACCCTCATCAATATTTTTGGTCATCAAATCTTATCATTTCTGAAAGTGGACTTATTATTTTCATCATTTTTTGTTTTGGTTTCTTTTGAAACATTAGATTTATCTATATAAAAGTGTAGGGTTTCATCCAGTTTCCAGCTAAAATGGCTACCATTTGTTTGCTAGCTTTACAACGAATGGCTGCTATTGGTAGCATTTAAGTGTTCATATATTAATCCGTTTTTTTATGGGGCTATTTTTACATAAACCTAACTCAAGATGAATTAATCAATCTTGGAAAAGTTGGATCCCATTTTGAGAAAAATTATCGTATTTTCTAAATTCAGGGTCCAATAAAAAAAAAAAACCATGTACAAACGAAACTCGAAATCTAAAATAACCTTTTGGCAATACATTGATTCATTTGAGGAGCACACAAAAACATTTATAAAATATGTAAAAATTACACTTATCAATATTATATTATTTTGAAAGCAAATTCTTGTGTGAATCTTGCTGTTGGTAAAATTTTTGTGAAACGGCCCCCTCTGTGGAATTTAACACAAGTTTTGCGAAATCTCCAATCATGGAATCTAACTCATTATTTCATCGTTATTAATTTCAGTACTCATCCATTAAGGTGACGGATTATTTTTCTTTTTCACAATCAGATATTGTGCATTTCTCTCCCCTTGTTTGAGTCTTTTTATCTTGTTTTTTTGGTCGCTTCTTGTCTCCCGTGTGATCTCTTACTAGTCTGAATAGAGTTATCTTTTCTTTGTTTGCCTACAACATAACTTTTAGCATGTACAAATTCATCTTCACAATGTTAAGCTATTATGAACTTCTTACTTATACCTTGACTGTAATCGTCACTATTTTTATACCATCAAATACAGCATAAACATTATGGATTTGTGTTCACAGACTTTCTGTCGAGGCCTCTGATTGGCTGTATTGGTTAGTTTACAATTCAATCAAATCAGTCAAAGTATAAGTACAGAGTTTGTAAAAGCTGACATTGTGAAAATGGTACAAATTGGCACAGAGCACATATTTATATGTTATTAGCTTTATATGTAAGAATCACTCTGAAATTTGCTTGCATTTAAACCAAGCTCAAAAATGCAAACTAATGAAGTTATATAAAGAGAGATAACTCTATTTAAGGTGTGTAAAGTGTATTATTGTCAGTATATATAAACCTCAGTAGTATCTACCCTACTGATATTAACTTTCATACATCATTTAATAATAATATTTTACCATGTTATAGTCCAGTAAAGATATTAATACACATCTATAGACAATTCAAAACAGTTCTCTTCACTTACATAGGTAGTAGATGAATACAATAAAGGGCATCTTCACAGTGTCCAGCTATTGCGAACTTGACTGCAATTCCCAGCAGTCTTGTACCACGGAAGTTTGTAGCAATGCTTGTGAATACAGCCAATCAAAGTCTACAATAGAAAAGCCATAATGCTTACAATCTTTCTGTCAAGGGCTCTGATTGGCTGTATTCGCTGGTATACTCTATACAATCAAATGATACAATGACATATTGAAGATGAATAATGGTTTGACTATCTCGAAACATAATAGACTGCTCTTATATATATGTGCGTAAATATCTTTGTGGAACTATGACTGTGGGTGTTAAAGTAACAATATTTTTATCATAACAGTGTGGATTTAATTGTCCAGTCAGTCCAATACTCATATTTAGACTTAGGTGTCATATGTTGGGGAGCTGCAGGAACTCAAATCAAAGGAGTAACAACTTCTTGTGGCTGTAACAATCACAAATCAAATTTGAAATTATCTGAATAGAACAGAGTTGTGATTAATTAAGATTGTTAATTAGGTGTTTTTAATTATTAATATTATATATTACTGTTGTATCACCAGCTCATTATCTTCTTTTTCACAGCTTCATTTTCTGTTGCATTTTTCTGCATTTTATTTTATTTTATTTTTATCTCTTGTATTTGTTTTGGCTTTAATTGGAGTGATCCCCCTTACTTTGTATATCGTAACACATCTCATACTAATTATCATAAAAATAACATTGACTTGAAATTTGTATGATTTTTGCTGGTATTTAGTTAAACATATTTACAATGGTCAATGGATTACAAACTTTGTATTATAAGGCAATGTTCATAATACCTTGAACATTCTTAGTTTAAGAACCATAGACATTTATGGTTCAAATAGAAGCTGTAAATGTCCATCTACATTAAACAAAGTCTAGAAAACCTAGTTTGAATCATTTAAACAAAAAAGAAAGGGAGCTATCAGTTGATCTTAATATGTTTGTATAAATGTAAGGTTCAATAATTCTACAAGCCTGACGAATCTGGCCCTATCAGTTCTTCAAATGTGATATACAGATAAGATATAGGCACGATTAGACACCATATTACAGTCTAGGGGTACCTTTACTTAAGAGGATTGTAGAGGTTTGTACAGACATCTGATTGAAAATTGTAATGGTGGAAATTGATTCTATCAGTGTCCCCAATACACATAAAAATTTAGAAAACTTCTTTACAATCCATTAAGAATTTAGAAGAAGAAAAGAAAAGTCTAACACTTGGTTATTCTTTGGTACCAGGTGGGGCACAGGGACATGGTAGAATTTCCATTAATTTTGTTTTTGATTTCTATAAAAAAGTGATGTTTTTTATGTCTGGCCAATATCACCACTGTATATCTCGTCCAAAGAAAGGGTGGAGCTAGATTTGTCAGGTTACTATTCAATATGTTCACTTGGTGCATTTTGAATCACTCCAGTAATTTTTCAAGATCTTCATTCACTGTCATGTCATAAAGGCTAGCTTGATTTTATGATAATGGGTCCTCATTAACAAAAAGTTTCACTAAGGAAGATTTGATCTTATTAGATTAACTTAACTAAGTTAAGGCTTTTAGAATAAGGCCCTTTTTTTACAATTTTCACAATGTTTGGCTGATATTTTTTCGGCCTGTTTTGAGGACAGGTGGCTCAATACTCATTTAAAGTTGGAATTATTTTCGGCTGGTTTTGATATGTAAATCCTAAATTTCTCAGAATGGTGAAGAACCCTTTATGGTTTACAACTTTTGCTTAAGCTCACTCTTCCTTTTGATCCGCTTGCTGTTTAACTTTATTTGTGCTTTCTGTTTCCTTACCAATTTTGTTTGAAAAAACAGAAAATTTGATCGAAATCTTTTCCTTATAATACTCTATAAATAACAATATGGATTGCTGCTTCAGTCTTGAAACTAAAGTTTTGTTGCTTCAATCAACTTTAAAACCGTTTTGTTTGAGATTAAGGGGCAAGGGATTGTTGAGTCATTACACATCAAAAGAATAAAAGTGATAAAGGCTACTGTTTAAGGATACTGATGAAGAGATGTTAAGGTTTATTATTGATGAAAGTTAAAATGAAAGGAATATTTTGTAGGAAGAGAAGAAGATATTTGACAAGCAGACGACCAAATTCTGTCAGTCGTTAGAACGATATCTCAACATGAAGAATAAAGTCAATGAATCTACTCAGAAAGAGGTGAGTATTGTTCGTTATGTTTACTTTTGAGCCAAATCTTTATGAGAATGTTATGTTTTCTAAACTAGACACTGAAAGCATTGATTGGATCATTCCAATTTTAAGCAGACGTCAATCATATGGTTCTTGCAATTCCACTCAAATTAGTTCTCTGGATTATGATTTGGAATGTACCAGCATGTCTTAAGAGTCATATAATACTTACTGTCATGGAGTGTGGAATCTATCAATGAATTCTCTGACTAATAATGTTTTTAATGCTCTGTAGGCTGATGCTACGTTAGAAATGGAGAGACGAGGGTTTTATCAAGCCTCAATGAAATATGTTTTAAAATTACACGAAGTTCAAGAGAAAAAGAAATTTGAGTTTGTGGAAATAGTAAGTAAAAGTTTAAAATTTATTTTTAATTTTCCATCAGGACTTCTAGAGTCAATTCCTAAATTCCTCTGCCAACATGCAGCTCTTGTCAGACATTACTGGAAAATAAAGAACTTTGATTATTGAAGGAAATTGAAAGAGAACTTATATTATGATATAACTTTCTATATATACCAATATATCTGAAGGGTTGTTGTTTAAATATTTGCTTTACCAGTCAATTGAAAACATCCGTTTAAGCTTTTAAGTCTGATAACATTGAGTTTTATTACTTTTAAGAGAGAGAGAGAAATTATAGGAGTTTATCCCTTGATTATTTCAGTTATTAGGGTTTATGTACAGTTGGTTGACATTTTATCATCAAGGACACGAGGCTGCCCAGGAATTTAAACCCTTTATGAACGACTGTCAACATCGCTTGCAAAAGGTAAGTTCATTTAGTCTCTTGTCTCCCGTGGCGTTTCATCTTGAAATTCCTTACATTTGTTGTGATATGAAACTCGACCAGAATGTCGCACTAAACTAAAGGTACCTGGGATATAACCCTGGTATAGTTTCAAATATTACCTTGCTGAATTTTTAACCCTGTTTCCAGGCATCATTGGAAATCACTGCAAAAAGATTCCTTGACATTTGAAAATTGGAAATTTTTTAGCTCTGTGTAATTTGAATCTATGACAGTTGAAAAGTTTGCTCTGGTATAAATAAGCCATTATTGTGTTTCCAGACACGAGAAAGTTTTGAGAGTACCAAAGAACAAGCAGAACAATTGATGAATAAAATGCTGGAGGTCCGTGGAACGGTAATTAAAATTTCATCTTGTTATCTACATCAGGGCCGGCCATATTCTACTTTTGACTTTCTCTTTTCTGAAATTTTTCTTTTAGGTCTTTTTAGGCTCAAAATTTTCAAGTCTTGTTTTTTAGGTTTGCAAAGTGAAATATTTCATTTAGGTTTGAAATTTTAAAAATTTGAATTTTGATATCTTGATCTAATGAATCATTTTCTCTTGAAATTAAACAAGGAATTTACTTTCAGACTCATAGAACACATTTTTATCCAATCATTTCATTAGCTCAATAAGGTACAGAACAGTAGGATATAAAACTCCATTTCATTTCATTAGTCTAATAAGGTACAGAACATCATGATATTACACTCCATTTCATTTCATTAGTCCAATAAGGTACAGAGCAGTAGGATATAAAACTCTATTTCATTTCATTAGTTCAATAAGATACAGAACAGTAGGATATAAAGCTACATTTCATTTCATTTGTCCAATAAGGTACATCATGAGATTACAATCCATTTCATTTCATTAGTCTAATAAGGTAAAGAACAGTAGGATATAAAACTCCATTTCATTTCATTAGTCTAATAAGATATAGAACAGTAGGATATAAAACTACATTTCATTTCATTAGTTCAATAAGGTACAGAACATCATGATATTACACTCCATTTCATTTCATTAGTCTAATAAGATACAGAATAGTAGGATATAAAACTCCATTTCATTTCATTAGTCCAATAAGATACAGAATAGTAGGATATAAAACTCCATTTCATTTCATTAGTTCAATAAGATACTGAACAGTAGGATATAAAACTCCATTTCATTTCATTAGTTCAATAAGGTACAGAACAGTAGGATATAAAACTCCATTTCATTTCATTAGTCTAATAAGATATAGAACAGTAGGATATAAAACTCCATTTCATTTCATTAGTCCAATAGGATATAGAATAGTAGTATATAACACTCCATTTCATTTCATTAGTTCAATAAGATACAGAACAGTAGGATATAAAACTCCATTTCATTTCATTAGTTCAATAAGATACAGAACAGTAGGATATAAAACTCCATTTCATTTCATTAGTCTAATAAGGTATAGAACAGTAGGATATAAAACTCCATTTCATTTCATTAGTCTAATAAGGTACAGAACAGTAGGATATAAAACTCCATTTCATTTCATTAGTTCAATAAGATACAGAACAGTAGGATATAAAACTATATTTCATTTCATTAGTCCAATAAGATACAGAACAGTAAGATATAAAACTCCATTTCATTTCATTAGTTCAATAAGATACAGAACAGTAGGATATAAAACTATATTTCATTTCATCAGTCTAATAAGATACAGAACAGTAAGATATAAAACTCAATTTCATTTCATTAGTCCAATAGGATATAGAATAGTAGTATATAACACTCCATTTCATTTCATTAGTCCAATAAGGTACAGAACAGTAGGATATAAAACTCTATTTTATTTCATTTGTCCATAGGATAGAAAAAAATTTTCATTTCATTTCACAATTCATGAAGATATACCTCCCCCCTTTTTGTTTCTCCCTTCTAAAGATTTTTACACTTTTTATAAGGGCATGTGTACTAAACAAGATTTATCTGTTTTTGTGTTAAAGTTACTAATAATGTTATGTACTTGTGTTTAAATATTAAAAACTAATTACAATTACTAAAAATGAAGTCTTTGTGCATGTCTTGAGTGTGTACTGGTCATCATGGGTTTAGAGCCCTTCATATTCAAAATCCAAATCCTTTTTTGAGACTTAGAATATCTAAAGAGCGTAAGAATTTGCCATACATCCAAGAAAAACAGAAAATTAAACAGATATAGGAGAAAAATTATGAATATGATTTAATATCAATATTATTCCATATCTATTCCTGATGAAAATTATATCTTAATATGTCTTTCCCTTAACACTTCTCCCCCCCACCCCCCTCTAACCATGCCCTGCTGCAGAGAACTAAGGTGAATATAGTTGTACTGTGTTATATTTGTACTAATCAAATTTTATTCAAAATCTGTCCTGGGGTGAGATGTTTTTGAAATTTTTAATTTTTGACAAATTTCAATCATTGAGATTTCTGATTTTCCAATTGCTTCACTAAATCTTCAGTTTAAATGATTTGAGCAACCATCTGATTGGTCAATTAATGAAATTGATTCTAAGTTGACCAATCAGTATTCCCTAAAATTTTTATCTGAATTAAGGTTTTGTGAATGGGGCAAATAAATTAAAAGATTTGTTTGTATCTCAGAAAGGACAGAATTTGAATAAAGAAACTAGCTTGTTTTTTGCATAGAAGGATTCTGCTTGGGCTTTGAAACAGAATGGTTTACAAGTTTCTGAAATGTTCTTACCCAGTCTGACTGATTGCCCCTCATTCTCCCTACTCATTCATTATTTATATCATTGATATTTCTACCTTGTGTTAACTGGCTGATTATATAACACTTTTTTGCAGGGTTCAAAATTTTTTTGTCTTGCTGCAATTAAAGTTATATTGAGAAATATCAAATTTTGGGATTTTATCAAATGAAAATTAACAATAAAAGCTATGTGGACTCTCTGAAAGAGCACCACTTGTGACTGTCAAAATGTTAGTTATTAAACACAAAGTTTGATGGCCCCTACTCTCCCCTACCTATTGATAAATAAATATGTATATATTTTACTATTCTCTTACTGAACAGGGTCAGAACATGTCAGCAATGGTAAGGTTGGCTTATTACTAATATTTTATATTACTATATTCTACAGACATCCAATCTATCTAAAATTGCGTTTCGTCCTTAATTTTGGTCGGTCTCCATTGTAATCTAAAAAGATTTATACCACAGTTGCGTACTGTTGATGTTCATTTCAACCAATCACAGCATGTCATGCAGAATCCCTGTCTAAATATTGATTATGAATTGTGGGATAGTGAAACCCAAAGAAGAATATGATCAATGAGTTGACCAAATAGCTTGTTGTATGACCACCAGACCACAACCTTGGTATAAATCTCGTTAGATTACAATGGAGTCCAACATAAAAAGATTGTATAAAATGTAGAATATAGAAGTATAAAGTAATGATGTATTGAAGACATTGTTTTTATTATTTCTCCATCTTGTTCTTTAATGTTTAAATTACTATAGTCAATCAGTTAATAGAGTTCAATATCAGCTACCAGGTTCACTTTTCAATTAAAAACTGACTTCAGGTTTACCTGTGATTAAATCAAGGTCTATAATCTTTGTAAAGACTGGAAAATGTTTACATCAGTCACATAGCAATTTGTTTTTTATTTAATTGCTGATAAGCTAGATGTTGGATTTTCTATTGAAAAGTGATACAGATAAGTGAAATTGAGCTCTATCAGCAATTATTTTGATGACTGTAACCCTTTTAAACAATCTCTTCTCATACTCTCTCTTTAAATCTATGTGGACTCTCTGAAAGGAATGTCTTCAATACATCCACATGTTTATTTTTAACTTTCTATCCTTTACAACTTTTATTTTTGTTCTGAAATTAGCCTCTGATAGATATTGACAGTTGATGACTAACTAGAAACTTGTAGTCCTCCATTTTGTCTGATACTTACAGTTTATTATCTTCACAATATCAAACTATTACAATACAATGTGTCTAATAACTGGACTATAAAAACCACCTTTCTTGTATCACGAAAGTTTGCAAATGCAGCAATCCAGCAATTTGATTGGATTGCAAGCTAGCAAATACAGCCAATCATAGCACTCGACATAAAGACTGGAAATATTATGGTTTATTCTTTACAGACTTTCTGTTGAGAACTCTGATTGGCTGTATTCGCTTACATACATTCCAACCAAATTGCAACATTTACAAACTTTCAGGAATAAGTAATGTGGCTATTGCTGGCTTTAAAGGGACAGGTGCGCCATTTTAGGAGGTTGATTTAAGTCTTGAAATATGTAATTAGTCTTCAGAAGAACTTAAAATGTACAAAAATCACATGATTCCTTAAAATACTTCAAACTAGGAATTGTACTCACTATTTCTATATATATCTTTTCTATAACACAGAGTATCTTAAATTGACATTCAAACCCAGATAATTCTGGACACACCTGGATTTAAAGGCTCAAATTTTGACAGTGAGCTGTGAACACTATTAATGATTAGCTTAGCTAAAAAATCCCAGTTTCTGAGAGTAAAGTATGATTGGTCAAAAAAATGGCCTACCTGTCCCTTTTAAATGGCCAATATTTTCAAATATATCTGTCAAAGGTCAGAAAGAATAGGCAAGCTTCAGATTTTTCCTTCAGTTTTTTGATTATTAGTTTATCTGTTAGTCTTACCCATTAACTGTTTTTCTTTTCAGTTTAATTTGTAATAATTTGTAATAATTTACCTGTATTGATTGTTATTGTTGTGATGTTTATAGATCTCTAAACTCTGGTCGAGGATCTTCTTGGATTTAAAAAAAAAAAAAAATAATCAAATTTAATCGCAATTGTTGAAATTTATGCTCTGAGAATTAGACCATCAATGAATTTTAATAATAAACTTTTAGAAACAGGGGCCTTAAGAGTTGTTTCTAGAATTTTCATCAGAATATTTTCCTAGGTGTTACAATGCTACAACAACTCTTATGAATTCCTCATTCGGCCTACAATTTGAATTAAACTTCGCTTCACCCCATCTTCAATAATCAAGGTGTAACTTTGTCTTATACCTTGACTACAATAGCCACCTATCTTGTATCATTGAATGCAGCAATTTGATTAGATTGTATGCCAGCGTATACAGCCAATCAGAACTCTTGACAGAAAGGTTGTAATTATTTATGGACTTTATGCCGCGACCTCTGGTTAGCTGTATTCACAAGAGTACAATCTAATCAAATCACTCTCTATACAATCTTCTATAATACAAGAACAGTGACTATTGTAGTCAAGGTATAAGACAATGTTTGTAATATCTTGACATTGTGAAGATGGTAACAATCTAAAAGAACTATTGGTATGTATTAAGGTATTTGTATGTTGTAGAAACCAATGGATCAAACTGGTACAATAAAAGGTTTTACTAGACAAGGTTATCTGTATTTGATGGAAAGAAGTAAGTCAACTGATTTTTTGTATCAAAGACATCTTGTGATAAAAGCAAAAAAATTTCAAAGTTGTAAGAAAGCACATTTGTAAACGTAATCAGTCCCCTCTTGTCAGCCTCAAGTCAGCTCTCTTGCTAGCCTTGTGCATTACTGACAAGGAAAAATCTGGAGTTATCTATGACCTAATATTTGAACCAAATTTAGATCAGATTATTAATTATTTTATGGCCTATATATCGCTATATTTTCTCATGTTTACAACCTTTTCTCCATTTCATCTGATGACGACCATGTAAATTGTGTTGAAACATTATATACTTTGTTATTAAAGAAGTGTGTTATACCATAGTATTCCCTTGTGTTTTTCTAGAGGCACTAGGAACAACATGGACTAAATATTATTGTCAGTATAAAAAAGATACAAAAGAGTTTGTGATGATTTTATATAATCAGTTAGGAGGGAAAGTGGTAAGTAAGATACAATCTGACTCCCAGGGTACTGTTTCCCTAAGATTTTGATAAATTTAGTAATCTGATTTGATTATGAATTGAATTAAATTAAATCAAGATTGTTGAAAATACAGTGATTTGATTGGTTAATAAAGATACATTAGATATTGATTTTAATGATTGAACTTATTTTGTTTATTGTTATTGTTAAAAAGATCAAATGAATTTCAGGCACAAAATACTCTCCCACTTTCTAATTATGATATTGTAATTAATATTCTTAAATTTTAGAGTCCTCCAGAGAAAATGGTATTGGACCAGTGTATAAGGTAGGTTTCATTTGATAAAATTTGATAATGTTAGGTAATGCCATGCAGTGTGCTTTAAGAGAAATTTGGACAGTAACACAGCTTTGGCCTACATTTTTTTCAATCTTACCAAGACATGCACAAATATCTTGAAAAAAAATATTTTATGTAGTTATAATTCTATTGGTTGATTTTATTTGTAGGAGAGCGTCGGAATCGATTGAAAAAAGGTTTTGTTTTGATGTTATGGTAAAGGAAAAGTAAGTCAAATAATTTTTACGATGATATACCTTCCTAATCATGCCGCATGAGTAGCAACTTCTGAAAACCTGAATTCCAACACTAACTGTCCTGATGAAGATTGTGTATCTGATACACATGTTGGCATGTGATGAGTGAGTCAATAAAACAACAAGTATCGCTTCAAAAACTAAGCACTAGAATCTGCAGGTAAGGCTGTTTTTTTTTTAAATTGTTATCTCATTTTCAGACAAGTCACAATGACATTTCAAGCATTATCTGAAGAAGATAGAAGATTATGGTTAGACGCCATGGATGGCAAGGAACCAGTAAGTTAGAAGGATTAAAATATCTTGAGAAAGTTTTAAACATATTTTGGGAGGTTTTTTAAAGCAGATAGAGAGGAATATTGGACCTTTGTGGCTAAAAGCAAATCTTTCAGTCAGTGTGGAAAGCAATTTATTGGTTGGGTAGACAGTAAAATCCTTAAATTTCTCATTTAAAGAGACCCTTAAAATGACCATGAAAAGTGCTTTGATTTACCAACAGCATAATTGAGACATGTCAAGAATTGTAAACATTTTAAAAATTTTTATAATTTTAGATTTATAACCCACCTACTTCTAAATCAGAAGACAGTAAGTATCAGATTATTTTATACTTTCCTAATGTAATATAATCCTTATCACATCTATGATCTGAATAGTCTTTGACACCCAGACTTCTCCTGTTTACGATGAGGATATCGTCTGCAACTTTCCATTTAATTTTCTGTTAGGCCATTAACTTCCATCAAGGGAGATAATTACAATTTCAACCAAAACAAATTGACAACCCCCACAAATTCTTTCCGTTTATTTTTTATACTTTGATTACCTGATGTTAATGGACAGTAAACAAGGCCCCGTATGCTACAGATTGTGCGTGTTGAAGAGTCTTTGTCAGTTGGAAATGGAATAAAAGCAGGCTGTTTATGCCGATAATCTGATTCCTCATTGCACACTGCATGGTGTTACCAGTCTTTAAGTCCACCAATTTTAACTAATGTCATTTTATTTTCAGCATATTTAGATGAAGTTGGTTTTAGTTTTATAAAGAAATGTTTATCTGCTGTAGAAACACGAGGTAAATAAGATTTATTAGAAGATAAACCAACTCAATTCAAGATACAATCTTTCAAATTGAAACTAAGCATCTGATATGATATTTGTGGGTACTATTAAGAGTCAAGAACACCAAATGGGTACCTGAAAAACCTCATAAACTGTGGTGCCTCAAATCCAATGCATGCTAAACTGGGAGTTTGGTGTATGTCAAGAAGAATTTTTTGATTTGGTTTCACTTCAAGTTCCTGTATTCTGCAGGCTGTGCATGTTGAAGATCTCTTGACAGCTCCAAATAATAAACGATAGATTGGAATCAGGAGCAGAATAATAGGATGGAAGCTGCATTATTTTATTTTTTTATGTTCTGTGATTTAAACCCTGTATTTCATGTTTTTTCAGGGTTACATGAACAGGGTTTATATAGAGTTGTAGGGGTGAATTCCAAGGTACAGAAATTAATCAACATAGGCTTAGGTAGGTCCTATTTTATAATTTCCCATCAATTTAAGGCAACCAACGATGGCTTGGCTGATTTTGTAATAATACATTGTAATATCAGTAATTCTGGTTGACTAATCTGTGAATCGGACAATAAACTGAGTCTTTTGTACAACAAGTTGTGCAATTTATAGATCCCTTGACAGGCTAATACTGCAGTCTTGTGCCAAGAAGACGGTTGATGTATAGGTTCAAATCAAATATTGACGCTTTAAATCCATGTGCGAGTGTTTTTAAAAAAATCGTCATTACATAACTTGAAGTGTTTGATTTTACCATTTTAAGATGTCATTTTGTAATGGAAGCTCAGGTTAGAAGATTTATAGATATATTGTTTGTTATGTTATTATTTCAGATCGTAAGAAAGCTGATAAAATGTCGTTTGAGGACCCCAGCGTGTGGGAAACTAAAACTATAACAAGTGCTGTCAAAAACTACCTCAGGTACATTCACTTTGAGTCATTACATACTTCTTGAACCTCCAGTCTTCTGTCTACATTCTTTTTTTTTCTGTTGGTTCAAATCTAAGATGTAATTTTCTTTAACAGCGGATAACACTCAACTTTAGCTATCCGTAACACTTGTCAGTATGTAAATCTGATGTTTAGTACTCCTGCAATGCAATCAAACTGTGAAAACTGTAAGTTAGGATAGGAGTGATAGTTGTGACAAAACAAAATGTAAATGTAGAAATACACTTGAAGATATAGATATTGTAATAGAGAATATTATATTTTAGATCTCTACCAGAACCATTGATGGGTTTTAAATATCATGATGACTTTATCAAAGCTGCTAGTAAGTTTTTATAATGATATATTAAACCATTCTGATTATAGATAACTGCTTAATATACCTCCATGATACCAGAAGGGTGTATATAAGTTGGAAGTTGGTAATATCTTGCCATTAATCCAAAAGGGAACGTTAACTTGTCATCTACCAACTAACCAACCTATCTTGCCATTGTGAAGATTGCGATGTTACTGAAGTGGACTATTTTGTGTATTGATTGATCATAAGAATATTAATATAATGTATATTGATGTTATATCAGCAGTTTCATTTTCAAATTGTTATTATTAATCTCGTTATTTTCAGAACATGAATCTAAGCGATTAAGAATTTTAGACATTCATAAACTAGTTCATAAATTACCTGATGCTCAATTTGAAATGTTAGAAATATTAATTGAACATCTTGTCAAGTAAGTTTTCTTTTCTTCTATTTTTTTTTTCTTGCTGGGAATTACTAGCTCCCATCTTTAACCTAGTTTCTTCCTCTGTCATTGCTGCAGGGTTGGAGGGAAAACAAGTCATATTCAGAATCTCTTCCACACCCTTTTACCTAACTCTCTTTTCATTCATTTCCTTTTGTTTCCATGTATTGTTTAACAGGGTTGAATTAAAATATAAAATTCCGTGTGATTTTTTCAGAGTATCCAATGAGAATGAGAAGAATAAAATGACGGTGGCTAATTTAGGTGTTTGTTTTGGGCCGACACTGATGAGACCAGAGGAAGAAACCATGGCAGCTATTATGGATATCAAATTCTGTAATATTGTGGTAGAAATTTTAATCAACAATTATGAGGAAGTAAGTTGGATTTAGGTATTTCATTTGGATTGTCATAGTCAGACATGACCGGTAAATACAGCCATATCAACAGCCTAGAGCTTTAGTCAGAGATGACTGGTAAGTACAACCATATCAACAGTCTAGAGCTCTAGTCAGACATGACTGGTAAATACAACCATATCAACAGTCTAGAGCTCTAGTCAGAGATGACTGGTAAATACAGCCATATCAACAGTCTAGAGCTCTAGTCAGACATGACTGGTAAATATAACCATATCAACAGTCTAGAGCTCTAGTCAGACATGACTGGTAAATATAACCATATCAAGAGTCTAGAGCTCTAGTCAGACATGACTGGTAAATATAACCATATCAACAGTCTAGAGCTCTAGTCAGACATGACTGGTAAATATAACCATATCAACAGTCTAGAGCTCTAGTCAGACATGACTGGTAAATACAACCATATCAACAGTCTAGAGCTCTAGTCAGACATGACTGGTAAATATAACCATATCAACAGTCTAGAGCTCTAATCAGACATGACTGATAAATACAGCCATATCAACAGTCTAGAGCTCTAGTCAGACATGACTGGTAAATATAACCATATCAACAGTCTAGAGCTTTAGTCAGACATGACTGGTAAATATAACCATATCAACAGTCTAGAGCTTTTGTCAGACATGACTGGTAAATATAACCATATCAACAGTCTAGAGCTTTAGTCAGACATGACTGGTAAATATAACCATATCAACAGTCTAGAGCTTTTGTCAGACATGACTGGTAAATATAACCATATCAACAGTCTAGAGCTTTTGTCAGACATGACTGGTAAATACTGCCAAATTAACATTCCTTATTAAATACTTAGTGACAATTTTTCTGTTTCTGAAGATTGTTTGTTTAAAGGTTTTGATATTTTTGTAGATTTTTGGTTCTCAACCAGAAGATGTTGATCCAAGCAGCCGGAAAAAGTTACGGAGACATTGGGAACCAGCGCAGAAGTCACCATCGTCTGTGAACAGCACATCATCATCTTCAACAACCAATCTTCGTCACAATACATCCACTCCAGTATTAACCCGCGACCAGGGGGCCACAGGTGGTGGCCATATTTATTCCAATCAAGCTCCGATACATCCTTCAGCGGCAGGGAAAGGGAGGCTACGAGCGGTCCAGATTTATAATCCTAACATAGGTGGTGAGATTACTGCATTTCTTACTAACATAGTTATCTACCCTTGATCTAGAAATTCAACCTTGACCTCTTAGATCTTATGTTATGGAATTTTCCTCAATGGGACAGTTTAGAGTCCTGGTTCTCTACCTTAGAGCATCTTCGTGCCATTAAAACATGCAAATTCAGACATGATTCGTGAATCAGCATTCGGGATTCAGGTATTTGTTCCAGCTCATGATAAAAAATTAGAAAGAGAGATCCAATGAGTTTGGACACAAAAAGGAAGAATTTTTAGACCTCTTGCTGCAGTAGAAATAATCCACATGAAGTTGCTTGCATTCCATATTATGCTTTGTTTTTGATTAAAGCTTATCCATGCTATTGTCCCTGTTAAATATAGTGTTAGAACTTTAGTCAGGTGTATATTAGTTGTTTGTATTTTAAGAGCAATAAGCTTTAAGCTAGCATGAGTTTACTGCTTCTTTCACACATGCCTTTGTCTTTTCCATTGTACAATAATTTCAGCTTTTTGTGAGCTTTTAGTCATTAATGGGATTGTAAAGAGTGTAGCGAGGACACTGATAGCATCAATTTACACCATTCCAATTTTAAATCAAACGTCTGTGGTTCCTGCAATTCCACTAAAACTAAGTGTTTTATGGCACAGATAATTTAGAAAAACTATTTACAATCCATTTAAATCTGTAACTCGTACAGTTAGCTTGTAGTAAACTGAATTGTCTATAAAATAACATCAACCAATCATATCAAACTAGACATCTGAATCAATATAAACATTAGGAACATTGCTTTTCAGAGAGTTCACATAGCATTTATTTTGTAGCTATTATACCTACTCTCAGAGATAATAAAAAAAAAAGGTCAGGTCCAACCTGGCTCCCCCCTGTCAGTGATGCAGGCAAGAGGGGCTGACATCCAAAGAGCATCTAGTTGCTCAGATGGAACAATAAACCAAGCTCTGCAACAAGGCTGTGCACCTTATAGATCCAGATAAGTTGAAAATCATAAAAGAGTAGTCTAATGCCGATGTCCAGGTAATTAGGTGCTGGAGAGTAGGACTTAAAATTCCATTCTTTTTATTTATTACCTGTTCTAATATATAGTATCATAGTTTGATCTCAAGACCTTTTTTTTTGACTCCAGGGTTTGAAACCCACAGTAGTACCAGCGGCAGTTCGGATTCTCTAAATGGAACCAAACCAAATAATTTATATTCTGTAGCCAGACCAGCTACTTCACCTCAACTAGAATCTCGGAGACGAGGTTCGGCTAATAGTAATAATAGTACGCCTTTATATAGTAATGTTAGTAATTTAGGTGAGTACTGAATAATAATCCTTATTGTTATATAATGGCTCAAAATTTGGCCTAAAAGTCTTTTCCCCCGATGGCCCTATCTATCTGATATACTTTAAAAAAACATGGGAGTTTTAGATTTTAGGTTTTTATTCTGTATTTGTTTGCCTTGTCAAGAATGGTTAGGATTGAAATACTGCAAACATATTCTTAAATCTAGAAATGATTTTTCCTACTTAGGACCGAGTCCGGAAGTGTTTGAATTCAAATCTTTAACACCTATATCTCCTTCAGGTTAGACAGTATTTCTAATCGTTGCTATAGTAACACTATTTTCCACTCTAACACTTCAATTGTGATGTTTCCATGGCCACACTAAGCTAACTTCTGTTTTTCTAAAGTAGTAACTGTGATATTTCCATAGTAACATGCATTGTTTTTGTTTTCATACCCGCTCTGAAAGTTTCTTGTTTGTTTATAGTAACAATTATGTGAAGTTTCATTTGATGTTTCTATAGTAACACAAAATTATCCCTAGTTTTTGTAGTGACATTCCTGAAGTTGGTAGAGTCAAAATTTACTCTTGGTTGCTATAGTAACACTTGTGATATATCCATAGCAACACAAAATTAACTCTTGGTTGCTATAGTTACACTTGTGATATTTCTATAGCAACACAAAATTAACTCCTAGTTGCTATAGTAACACTTGTGATATATCCGTAGCAATATCAAATTAACTCCTGGTTGCTATGGTAACACATGTGACACAAAATTAATATTTCCATAGCATCAACAAATTACTCCTGGTTTTATTATAGTAACACTTGTGATATTTCCATAACAACACTAAAATTAACCCCTGGTTTCTATAGTAACACTTGTGATATTTCAATAGCAACACAAATTTAACTCATGTTTTCTTTAATAAAACTTGTGATATTTCCATAGCAGCACAAATTTGTTTCCAGTAACACTCGTGATATATCCTTAGCAACATGAAATCAACTCCTGTTTTCTACAGTAACCCTTGGAATATTTCCATAGCAACACAAATTTGTCTCCTGATTTCTTTAATAACACTTGTGATATATCCAACACAATACAAATATAACTACTAGTTTCTACAGTAATGCCTTTGATGTGCCTATAGTAACACTTATGATATTTCCATAGCAACACTAAATTTACATCCCAATACCATACCAATGCCAAATTTATATCTGATTTCCATGATAATACTTTCTTGTTGTTTCCACAGCAAAACCAATTAAACATTAATTTTCCCAAAGTAACTCTTTTTTTATACACCTGTTTGTTCTTTTAATGCTTTCTATATGTTAATATTAATTTTTGTTTCGATGGTAACACATTCTTCTCAATAATTCCATCTTATTGTCACCCATTTGTAATATATTTTACATATTTTATCCACTTTGTCAGAATTGACTATTTCTAGCAAAAATAGATTCAGAGTTATTGCCCTTGATTTGAAATCTGTGTTAGTAATCTATAAAAAATTTGAGGGTCCAATTAGAGATGTAATAGCTTTATAATTATATTGTTGAGACTGGTGACACCTCAGGGCTGTTAACTATTAGTTATCTTTAAACCAAAATTTTGGTTATCGATTATGACGTAAAAGTAGCTGAAATGATGAATCTTTCAATTTTGTTTCAGCAAATCGTTTTAATTTTCCTGGGGCTGATTCACCTACATTGTAAGTACATTGGATTTATTCTAATTTCTATTCTGATCTTTACTAAAATATACTTTTTTATTGAAATCTTCATTTTCAAAAAGCAGATTGCTGTATTTTTTGAATTCAGATATTTTTATGAAAAATGCCAAATGGGTGAGACAATTATTTATACCAAATATCATTTCGATGAATTTTCCAAGATTTTGTGGAGCTTTGATAATCAAGTATTTAAAAGATTTTTTTTGAATTTTCTAGTGGTAGTGTGAAGAAACGCAGCTCCAATGATTTTAGTTCTTCTATGTAAGTATTAGCATCTCTTTAATGTTTCTAAACAACCATAGAGGATAGAGTCACAGCAGCTGTAATTTGAAATAAATTTTGGCAGACTACACATATCTTTTGTTATGTACTGTAAAGATCTGTTCAAAATCCTAAAACAACTGCACTCTAACCATCAACAAGTCACTTGGAAAATAACAGCTGCTAGATTCATGAATTTTTTTCCTTCATCAAATTTATGTATAGGAATTTCTCAATGATCATTTTGAATGTCTAAGTATGTCTCACAAGGAAGTAAACTGAAATTTTATAAGCATGATAATTTAACATTTAGATTAAGTGATATGTATTTTGAAAACTATCAAGGTGGCTCCTTTGTCAAGCCTATATTGTGAACTTGGTCAGAAGTTATGATCCCGGGAAATCACATGATCAATACTTTCTTAGAATTTGATTGGTTGAATGATATATTTTGAAATATGTGTATTTATTTTCAGGAATTCGTCAATGCAGTCAAGTATGACGAGTAGTTTAGGTAGTACGTCTTTAAATACAAGTAGTAATAAACCTAAAAGGTACGTTGTCTTCCTACAACTATATACTAAAGACTTTTTATTTTCGTAGTCACCACATTTTTGACGTGACCACAGTGGCATATTTGTTATTACATTAAATTCGTGAATATAATTTTATATTTATAAATAGCAGAAAGTAGTTAAGCTCCTCCCACTTTCAAGCAAGAGAAATAATAATAATCAATTTTTTTTAATATAATTTAAAACACCAAAGGTGTTGAACGAGGAAAGGCGTTGAACTCAATATTGGTACAGAAAAATGAAATATAAAATTTACTTGCTTTATTTCAGGCTAGCACGTGCATTATATCGTTGTAAAGCTGAAAATGATTCTGAATTATCATTTGAACCTCAACAACTTATTCATAATGGTAGGTTCCCCTTCGTATAATGTTTTAATTTAGGTCCTAATGTAATATGTAAGCAAAAGGAGGAGTGAAAAACTATCCACTTTAGGTACAATCCAGCTTTGATTGATACTGTCAAACTCTTTTGAATGCTTAGTAAAACGCATCCCATAAAGCTTTTAACCACTTCTTGCTAAATTTGAGTATACTATGTTATTTTTTCAGTTCGGCCTTCACGAGAACCAGGGTGGTTAGAAGGAACATCATGTGGTAAAACTGGATTATTACCAGAGAATTATATAGAATATATAGACTGATTAATATTATATTAGGCTTCAATGTTGAACCATGGAATTTATGGTGCAGTTGTCTGTGGTTTTTCGATCTGGTTTGAACCTGGACTCCAAAGTTTTGATGTTGCTCAAGTATTTGACTTCAACATTGATTCCATTTTGTTCTTCAGTTTAGATGTTAAAATAGATCAATGCTATAGAAATCATTTTCAAAACAAAATTGAATCATGGAGCTAAAGCAGTTATTATTTCTATGTATGGTTTAAAATAAAAAGCGACACTGTTATTGGATTTGAAAAATACTACATTAGATATGAGATCAATTATCATTGAAATTTAGGTTTTTATGTCAAGTATGCCATAGACTGTAGTATGTTACAGAATAATACCTGTCTTGCCTGATTAATCATTACTATCATCATCATCATCATCATTATTAACAAGCATCATTTTTGTTGCCATATTTTTTATTGATATCATTATCTCGTTGTTTTATTTTGTTTTCAACTAAAATTTGTTTATTCCTATGGAAATATTAATTGCTAATGTTTTGTTTATTTTGGGCAGGTCCCATTATACATATCTTGGTCTCTATATTTGAATTTAAAAAAAGCCGTTATTAGACCTTAATACACATAGGAAGAAAGATTCATGGTTTTCCCATTTCCCATCGTCAAGGCCACAAAATAATATCATCTAGGGGGCCTTTGGTTGGTGAGCTCTGCACATTTGGGATTCATAGAATCAATTTTCAGTTTAAAAAAAAAAAGGAAGTTGGAACAGATTGGGGAACAGGCTTTCGCCTATATATCCCCTAACAGTTTTTGGAACAGTGTTTAGACTGCATTACTCAAATAAAAGTGGGTGTAGAACAAAATTCAAAATGGCGGAGAAATTAATAGAAAATAAAATTCTGAATGTGACATATCTAGTTCTCTACCGTTTGTTTGATGTTAGAATTAGAACAGACAGAACCTGTACAGAACTCACTAATCAACGCCACCCTAGGGTTAAACTATCTGTTTTTTTTCTGAGTACTTTTGATACCTTGAAAATTTATGTTAATATTTTAGTGCTGTTTTAGGATGATGTCATAATATAAATAATCACTGCTTGTCTGCATGTTGATTACGGCCTGGAAGCCATGACAGTTTCTGTTGAAATGTAGGGAACCTGTATATCTAGGGAGAACTCAGAGATTGAGCTCTTTTATGTAGTAAAATATATATTAAGGCAAATACAATAACAAAACATTTTCACTGTTAAGATAATCCCTACTGACACTGGCTGAATAACAACATGTTTCAGGTTCTGTATTAATATTTCTATGAAGGCAACTATACACATAGCTGTAATTTAAACCTATCAGCTGGTAAATCGTTAAAACATGGAGGAAAATGTTCACGGACTAGATTTTATGTGAACTTCATGCTAAGTTACAATGAGAAAATAAAATATTAATAAAAACAAAGTAAAAATCTTGTATAATGTAAATTAAATTATATTATAAGGCAAATCAAAAACATAATCAGGGACAAAATGAAATGTAAATATTGGAATTTTAATTTTCTTGGATTATTTTTTTTTTTAAATTCTATGAAATCAAAATATATGTTGTTAAATACAGAATAGAAACAAATGGCAACTTATAATGAAAAACTTTTCAAAGATGATATTTCATTGAATTTCACTTGTTCATGGTAGTATATCTGAAATGATTTTTAATTATCACAGTTTTTTTTTTTCTTTTAATTTATGGTTGCCATACTGTGTTTCTTGTTTTGCAATAAATAAAACTACACAATAGTTCAAATAAGTAATTTATTTTGGTTTTTGGAGTCAGTCTTTGTTAAAACTGGACTCAAGAGTCAAAAACTGAACATAATGGTCCACAATTTATTTTACTGAGAGAAAGATTAGGAAGGTACACAATTTCAATGGTTTAATTCAACTGTAGCCTGGTTCTGAATTTGACCCACCACATCTTTATAATGTCAATCTATTACAAACTTTGTACTAATACCTTGACTGTAATAGCCATTATTCTTGTATCACGGAATGGAGCCTGAGAATACTGCTAATTTTAGTCCCTTACAGAAACGCTGTAAAGAGTATGGCTTTGTGCTCACAGACTTTCTGTCGAGTATTCTGATTGGCTGTATTCGTCTATGTACACTCCATTCCAATTGCTTTACAAACTTTTATGACACAAGAAAGGCCACCTTTGTGCTGAGAGAAATCTTAATGCAGTAAATTTATTAGCCAATCAGATTCTTGAATTTATTTAATTAAGATCACCATGAACTCTTTAATATCATGGCTTAAGAAATTCATTGTTAATGTTTTTTCACATTATTTAGGTAAATTTCAAGGCTTCAACATATATCTAACCTCCTACCGCCACACCCGATATGTTTTTGTCGCATATTGCCTTTGTCACATTTCAGTGAAGATAATAAATAAATCATAATATTGTAAATATAAAAAATCTGTAAATTTATAACTTTTAGTTTCATCTTGTTACAAAAATATCTTCCTTTTAAGAGATTGTAGAGAGGTTTTCTAATTATTTTATGTGTATTGGCGACACAGATGGCATCAATTTGCACCCTTCCAATTGCACGTCTGTGGTTCCTGCAATTCCACCAAAATTGAGTGTTCGATGATGTCACAAACTGGGAAATATGCTTTATCACATAAGGCCCTTAATGATTAATGACGTTATAAAACACCTAGTTTTTATGGAATTGCAGAAACTGCAGACATCAGATTGAAAATTGGAAGGTGTAAATTGATGCTTTCAGTGTCCCTAATTCACATAAAGATTGTAGAAAACCTGTTTACAATTCCTTTAAATTCAAGGTCTACTATGATAATAACCATAGTGAAGGTATATCATCTTTTCAACCATGCCCTTCATCAGTAAACCATTAGACTGGTTCATTATATCTAAATAGCTTCGTATGAGGAGTCAATCTTTTGGAGAGTGTACACAGCTAGAAATTTTTTTTAGATTTTGAAATGCTGAATAAATGTAAGAATATTGTCATTTATTACAAGATGTATATAAATATGTGAAATATATTGAAATTCATCAGCTTGTTTTAGATCCATCTTCTCATTGTTCAGATATTGCGAACTGTGATTTATACCTTGACTGCAATAGGCACGTTTCTGGTATCACAAAAGTTTGTAAATGCAGGTATTTGGTTGGATTGTATGCTACCGAATACAGGCAGTCAGAGACCTTGATGGGAAGTCTATACAATAAGCCAAAATGATTACAAAGGCTCTGATTGGCTGTATTCTGTGGCAATCTATCCAATCAATCACTGCTTCTGTGATATAAAAAGGTGGCTATTGCAGTCAAGGTATAAAACACAGTTGGTAATAGTTGAACATTTTGAGGCTTGTTCTAGAAATAATAACCTACAATCTATCTAGTCAGATATCACTATGTTAAAATCTTTGATTGATTCAGTTTTAGTGCTATTTCTCCTTTTAAAACTTGTTTTTCTTTCAGTTTTAGTGCAATTTTAAGTGTTTTTTTTTTAATGCATATATTGTGAGAGGAAAAGACTATAAAAACTTTTTAATAACTGACTTTCAATTCAAATAAAAATAGTTTTTGTTGACTATATTATTATTTAAGTATACCTTGACATATCAGTACAATTTCTAGAACTATTATTAATATATTATTTTACCTTATTGTCCAATTAGGTCACTTGGAATTGTCACAGTTAGATATTAAACGGCCTACCGTGAGAGTTACGCTAATGCTCTGCAGCATATCATGGTATTGAATTGCAGACATAATTTACCATCAACTATATCAATATTGTCACGTTTTCTAAACTTTTTGTTATGTGTATCAGGGACACTAATAGCATCAATTTCTATCAATCAAATTGTCAAGTGGATATCTTTTGTTCTTGCAATAAATCTTAAACAGCCCTTTATGCCGTCACTATTGCAAAAGCTGTTTATATCAAATAAGGCCCTTTGTGATAGTGGCGTAATCTTATAGTTGAATTGTAAGAACCACAGAACCACATTTGAATTCTGCAAATTGATGCTACCAGTGTTCCTGATACATATAAATAGGTCAGAAAACCCCCCTACATAACGCTCATTCTCAATACTTATCAAATATCATGATGTAAAATAAATTTGTAGTTTTCTATATAATCAATATCATTGTTAATTTTCACTGTAAGTTCTATAATAATTAATACAAGCACAATGTACTGGCTGGAATGTCTATAAGCTATAAGTTAACAAGCTAAGCTATGGGATAAGTGGCTATGCTATAAGATAACTGGCTATGCTATAAGATAACTGGCTATGCAATATTATTATTATTATGTATATTTGAATATATGGAATTTTCTTAACAATCACTTATAATAAATGGATGTAAATATTATAAAAGATAATAATAAATAATAGGAAAGTCATGGAGATATTTATAGAGATTTTTGGGTTGTTGCTGGCAAGATATTACCATTTTTCGTCGCTAGGAATTTGGAGCTCAGATTTTGTGCCAAGAACCAACACAAGTTCTATGTACAGGGGAGGGGAGAACTCATTTCTAACGATTTTGAATCCACACTTAATCAAAATGGTTTTTTTGTGGTTTTCTTCGAAGACACTGCAAATTAATCGATCTCAACTGAACTGAAGAAAGTTTGCTGGGGCTTCATTCTTACTTGGTGGGGCCCAACCCCTGTGGACCCCACCCTCAAAACGGGGCTGAATATTACTACCTTCTCTACAGCAAGTACGTTGATTTAGATTTTTAGAGAGTCTACATATTGGTAAAATTCAGATAGATTTGAGTCTGTTTAGTTGGAAATATATCAAACACCTCAATATAACAAAATGCTTTTTTTCTTGAAAAATGCTGATACAAACAAGAAACCAAACAGAACAGAAAATAATAACCACTAAAAGCTGTAAGAAGATACATGACTTGTGTCAATTGATGTGCCCAAAATTCCATTGCACAGCACTAAAACAAGTGTCACTCAGACATCACTCAGACTGACATTCAAACAGACATCACTCAGACATCTTTTAGTCATCACCCAAGCAGACTCTTAATAAAACAGACATCACCCAGACTGACATTCAAACAAACATCACTCAGAAAGACGTAACCTTTACAGGCATCACTAAGACAGACATCAATCGAACAGCCTTACTCACACAAGATCATTGAAATATGCATCACTCACACAGACAGCACTAAAACCGGCATGACTCAGATAGACGTCCCTTAGATTAGCATCACGGTGGTCTGAATGTAAATCGAGAAATGCCTTCGTTAGTTGAGCTGACAACAATAACTGGTGTGTTACCATCATGGCAGACATCAATACAGTTTATACTGTCACTACACGCTCTGAATCGACAGGTCGGCACCGCAGGATTGAACGTCAACCATGATTCCTCAGTAGCTATGTAATACACCAATACATTGCCTGTAAAATACAACAAAATACACCAATACATTGCAAGTAAAATACAACAAAATATTATGAAATGTAATTAAGCAATTATCCTATAGAGTTTAAAAGGTTTTTCTTTTAACAGAATAAGGACAATCAAGGGTAATAACTGAGTCAAATATCCGCAACTTGGGATAACAATATGGCTTTGGGCTTCCTAGTACCATAAAATTAATAAAATCAAGGAAAATAACTTATTAACTTATAAAGTAATAGCTCCACAGTAAAATGGTGTAATAACGGTCATATTATTTGTAAAATCAGGGGCAATAACTCATACCTGAATTGAGGCCAACTACCAATAATCTGGCTCTACAAGCTAGACATGTTGGAGTAGCAGAGAAAATTTCCAGCTCTGTTTTATTTGGTGTTGTCTGAAATTTCTGATTTCCAACTCTCCAACAAATACTACCATCTCCTAAAATATAAATCATGTTGAATTTACAAAATATTGTTACACACTAAACATATTTTAACAAAAGTTTGTTTGGTTTTGACACATTTTTTTGGCATATATATGCCTTGAGGCAAACAAACTAATTAAGTGACCTCGCTAAACAGGGGCAAGATGTGTCAAAGACTATTCTATTTTCTTTAGACTTTCGACTTAAATTTCATTTGAATACAGTTTATCTCATGCTGCTGACATCCGTTCCTGATGCACAATCCTCATCAGGACAGCTAGTTTTGGAAATGGGGATAACTTTCCAATAAAGGACTTGATGTTTGCTAATTGACTCTTGCTTTATCTCATGGTGCATGGACACATGTTTCTGAAACACAATCCTCATCAGGACAGTTAGTTTTGGAAATGGATAATATCTTACCTAATAAACATAATAAAATATAACCATCAAAATAAATCTGTTTTGTGTAACTTTCAGAAAATTTAGCTACAATTACAGGTCTGCATTGCTGTCTTGTTGTAGAGTTTAGTTTCCACTGGTATAAATTACCTATTACATCTCCCGATATTATCTATAATGGATATAACTGAGTTTTACACCATACTAGTCTGGGCCTAATTTAGGCAATTCAACTCTGTACTCTGCTATACCATAGAATAGTCTAAAAACATTTCTGAATCGGATATTTTCAAAATTATCACATTTTTTTTTTCAATAATGGAACAAAGAAGGTCTTAAATTTTAAAATACATTTTTTTGTGAATGAGTCCATTTTCAAACTGTAATATAAATTCAACCAACCTGATCATTCCAACAGGTGGCAGCACTGATACAAGATTCCTCGTGACCATACAGCTCGTGTAGGACATTCACTGTTTTATCGTGATCAACTTTCCACACTGGCTGTCCGTTTAAAATAGAGGATTCTGCTGCTACCACAAACTTACTACCCCAACAACTACAGACACAGATAAAATTCTATTATTTCAATTTAACTGTAGACTCATATAAATAAAACTGCATTATTCCAAATTAGTGTCAGACAGGCTGATAGCTACAGAAAATCCAAGAAGCAAAAATGGATTGAAATGCAGTTTTACTTTAACTCAATGAGTACAGCTTTTTACATACTTGTCCCCTTATCATCATCAACATAGGAATAATGGATTTAAAAGCTTTTAAGAACCTTACTTCCTACATCACTAGGACCCCTTATATTTCTGAGTCTGAGAATCCCATGGTTATATCTCTTAGCCTAACTCCCTGGAGCCACCAGGGCATTCCCCTCTCCCACCCCTAATAAAAATTGAATCTAACCTAAGATTATTGACAGAGCCCCTGTAGAGAGTTATATTTTTAACTGAGTCAGAAAGAGGGTTGGATACGTGGATACTAGAATCTCTGGAAACGGACACAACAGTATACCCATCAACCCATTCTCCTACTTCCTTCATACTTTCAACTGTAATATAAACATTATGTCATAAAGACTCAATTTCAGCCATAAGTGTCACTTTTCAGAATTAAATTCTGACACTCAACAAACTCAAAAATTTAAAAAAAAATAAGTAATGAGGGTTTAAAATTTAAACAGAAACAAGGCTTCAAATTGTAATGCAGAGTGCCAAAATTGAACAAATACTTATTCAAAATCTATGAGTCAGGGCTAAATAGCAAAAAAAAAAATATACACAAAGTTAACGGAAGTCTATTTGGTAAGAAATATCAAAAATTGGTTTGTGGTCTATAATAACAAAAATCAAACCTGTATTGAGCATGTCAACTGCAGTCACATGACTTCTGTGTCGAGTAAGAAGTTTAAAACGGCCTGGTTCTACCTCATCCTTCCACAATACAACATTACCATCAATATGACCTGATACTAATATATTGTCTGAAAATATACACAGGCAATATACAACACAAAGATAGAAATATCTGAATTTACTAGTTTAACAACTTAGGTTTTTGAGGATCTTTTCAACCAGCTGGTCTTCGGTCAAACCTCTTGGTAATGATTTTACAAGGGTAGTAACTTCAGTTCTCAAGGATCCTGTCCACCACCAACTGATTCTTGGTCAATCCTCTAGGTAATGATTTTACAAGGATAACAAATTTAGTTTTCTATGATCTTGTCTACCAACTGGTTCTTTGTCATATCTCTTAATAATAATATTACAAAGATAACAAGGATCATTTCTAAAAGATTATCTTAAGCCAAATCTATTGTTTCAAGTTACATTTTAATTGATGGAATAATGATGAATGGTCCCAGTTGATGAAGATTGGAAGTGTATTTATAGACTCTTAGAAACGTACCTCGCGATCTGAGAGCTGTACAGGTATTTAGCTGAGAAGGCATCATGACAACCTTTCTTTCTGGTATCCAGTCTCTGACAACTGACATCCGATTATAATCAAAATAAACATCCTTCCAAAAAGTCCAGGGTACATCTTTACAATAGCTATCATTTCTTTTATCTAACAATTCTGGTATTCCTAAAAAATATCAAAAATTAAAAATATATTCAAATAAAGTAACACTACAACATAAACATTATTAGGCCTAGCTATATGCAAATATGGATTCTTGAAAAGGTTGTCAAGTTGACAAACCTAAATACCACAGAAACATTATTAGCCACATGGACTCTCTGAAAGGATTCTGAAAGTTGACAAACGTAAATACTGTTTTATATCTTATGTAATTTTGGTGAAAAAGGTTGAAGACAAGATCACCAGAAAGCTGCCCCATTCACTTGTTTCTCAGTACCGGTATCAACGTATAGACATGTCATACCTGTTAACTGAACCAAATATCTTCTAGGAATTTCATTCAAACATTTTCCTGTCCAGATGTGGAAAGACTTTTCCAGGACGTCAATAATTTCCAACCATAATGTACAAACTTTACCAGAGTTGATTAAAGAATCACCATCACATTTACTTAAAATATAAAACTGCAATTCCTTTGGTAATTTTTGTATCTCCATCTTGCCTTTTATACAATTCTAAAACACAAAATAAATTTTTGTAAAATTCATCATAATTATATGTAAATATAATTCTATTCGTCGTATTCTTAAGATAGGTTCTCGTCAATTAAGACGATGTCATTCTACAAAAATTATATTTTTAGCTAAATTGATATATCAGAAACTTATTTCTTCGAAAATCCTGCTCAGCATACGATTTTTTTTCAGACAAAACACATAAAATGGAAATACTTTCAGATTTTTTTCAAATTTATCGCCATCTTGAGTTTCTTTTTTTTCCCTCTAAAATTGAAGAGTATGGGTCTATTTGTTTTACGCGGTGATTAGGGCTGAACTTGATTCGGAGGATTCAGCTGGTAAATGACTTCGTACTTGATGATACCAAACGTAAATAGACCATTTGGTGTCTATAAGTAACTGATAAGTATAAAGCAAATATGCAACGCCTAATTAAAAGAATAATATTTTTACATAATGAATGATGAGCCCCATTAGCCGCTAAAGCAAATATTTCAACGATTATGTCTAAATCATATTAAAATGGAAATCATTATTTTACATTATAAAGCAAAATATGTTGACAATGAATATGTTCTGTTATTAACTTCAACAAAAGATACAGAATGATTGTATCGGGCGTTTATTTAAAATCCCCTCACTATCTAAAAATCTTTCTTGTCATTAGCTTTATATAGAATGTATTATTGATATTATTAAAGGGACAGAGATACGCAATTTTCGGGAGTTGATTTACTAGAAATGTACGAAAATGGCATAATTTCTTCAGAAATATCTGAAACTAGGAATTTCACTTTCAAGTCAGAGTCAGAGTCTCAAAAAAATAACGAGTCGTCATTTTAACATTCAAACGCAGATAATTCTGGACACACATGGCTTTAAAGGCTCAAATTTTGATGGTGAGCTCTGGACACCATTACTGATTGCCAAGCTAAAAATTCCCGTTCTGGAGACTAATGACACATCTGTCTCTTTAAGTAGGATATGTGACTATTTGATACAATATTAATAATTCAATCAAACAATAAAAATATCAGTCATATTCCACCGTGCCGCTGGTAAAAGACCCGACAATCCATTTATCACTACAGATCAGAGAAACACCAATTATACATTAACATCAATACTGATCAGTGGCGGCGCTATTGAGGGTACACGTGGGTAAGGGAATTGAGTGCATTTGTTCCACAAGACAAATAATTTGTATCTCCTCCCCAATTGTACAAATCTAACAATTTCAAAATATGACTTTAGTAAGTTTTGCCCCATATTATGTGTCGGCATAGGGGAGAACCTTCCAAGACCCTCCATGTGAGGGTGCACAACAGAGCTTCGCATTTTGAATATCATGAATGTCCTCCCAT